ATCGTCAAATATAATAAAAAGGATAAAATTTATCTAAAAATTAATAGTTTAGGTTTCGAATAAACCAAATTAATAATATAGGCTATATTTTATCACAACTTTAATGATTTAAAAGTAAAATATGTCAGTAAATCGTTGTTATTCCATGATTCCCCAATAGTCGTTACCGGTGTTTCACTTGTGTGTTGCTAGATACTCTGATTTATAAGCAAGCGTGTGCACAAACATACACACACATATATATATATATATATATATTTGTTTAGGTTTTATGTTGCTTTCATTGTATATGTTAAGATATGTTTTACCATGTTGCTTGATTTAATTTATGCTCTACGCAGATGGACAAATAATTTAATGCAAATCTCTATTTTTCAAGTTTTAAATAATTTTCATAACCAATAAACTAAAATTATCATTAATTGATGTTGCAAACAAATTTTTTCTTGATATTTGTTTAATAGAAGTGTTTTTTTTTTTTTTTTTCATGTACGTGGACTCATTTTGTTTGTTTGATAATTAATAATATCGTTTTAGTTTTTAGAATGATTATTCGATTTGACTGAATTTTTATTATTACTGATTTATTTTTCAATTATCATTTTTAATACCATAGAAACCATAAAAGTAGTAAACTACATGCCATTTATCTAAAAATTATCCTTTTCATTATATAGTATTGATAACACGTGTGAATTCCATATTTTTAAAAAAAATCTTTTTCCTGCTCTTAGGTCATATATAGCTTGTCTTCATGTACATACCTTGCACACAAAAGAATTTTTTCCATCCTTTTTTCTCAACTGACTTTTAATTATTAATTAATTTTTAGGTTTTTTTTTTAAATTAAGAGACAAATCATCTAAAATACACATATAACCTTTAGATTATATATATATATATATATAAAATAAAAAATCATGATAATCTCATTTTAAAATCATAAAAACTCATCATATAAATTATCTTCACTTTTTCTTTAAAAAAGAGAGAAGATAATCATGTTTTAAAACTTAACTCCAAAATCCATTCGTAGGAAAAAAAAAATCATATTTGCCAACAAATAAATTTTTATAAAAATAAAAATAAAAATTTAATTGGATGAGAATTAAAAAAAATGATAAATTGAAAGAGCTAATTTTAAACAATAAAAGTATTATAATATAAAACATATGTTCATTTAAAAATTTGAAACACATCACATGTATTTCTTTCTTGTTAGTTTATGCAGAAATCCTGACAAATAATGATCAATTTTTCATAATTTATGCAAAAATATCACTATTTTTTAAAAAAGAATTCTATTGACATTAAATTAGCTTCGCTGTAGCGTTCCCTCTAACATATTCATTGTAATGAAACAAAAATGAAAAATATAAAAATAGATTATAAATAAATAAATAAACACTTTCTTTATCTTAAAAAAAGATTGTCTCCTTTTTTATTGATATTTGTTCTAAAATATTTATCTGATCAAAATTTTTAATAATACACTTTCTTAAAATACCTTTATTTTGCAATGCAATATTAAATTGGATAGATTTTCTCTTTAAACAAAAAAGAATATTTTAGAAAGTATTATTAAAAGTGATGATGTAATATTATAATTAATAAGTTTCTTATATTATGTAAAAAGTCAAACGAGACTATTACTTCCGGACAGATAGAGTAAATGAATTTATACAATAAATAAATAATATTGTTTACCCTTGGGAAGCTGAGTAATATAAATTAGTCCTTTTATTTTTTAGAAACAAATTAATCGTTCCCATAAATTAATTAATCCCTGTTGTTTTAAAGCTAATTACTTAATCCATTGAACAGCATTGACTATGCTTAATTTCCCATTACTTTATTGAAAAGGTAAAGTCATTTTTTCATCGATTCTTCTATTTTTTATTTTTTATTTTTTCTATTTTAAAAAATAAAATAAAATAAATTGAAAACAGACAAAAATGACTAAGTTACAAGAAAATTTTAACAAATATAAAGAGCTAAATAATTAATTTGAAACAAGAATAATTAATTAATTAGTTTCTTGAAACTAAAAGAACTAATTTATAATTTACTCTTGGAAAGCTTTCGTGGATTTGCAGGAGATTAACAAGACTAGCATAACTCTTGACGAGTTTATTAATTTCATGGATGGGATTCTTTTTCCTGTTTTAAATTTCTCAGGTTCTATCAAATCGAAGAATTATTCGATGTATTGAAAGTTGTATATTTATTTTTTTATATAAAATGAAATATATTAAAAGTTGTATATTTATCTTTGGGTAAATATATTAATTTATTATTATATAATACTCAAAATTTTTCATATGTGATTAATTTTTCAATCACATTCCATTTATTTCTGAAAGTTTTTGAAATATTTAATCTGTTTTTATGATCAATTTTTATGATCATATAATTTTTTTTATTGAAATATCTCTATTGAAATGCAAAAAAAATAAAAATAAAAATTATAAAGTCTTCAAAAATAGAAAATACATATCGTGTGATTTTAAATATTTTTTTTAACATTCTAGTAAATATATTTTGGTTAAAAAATTTGTCTACAGTCGAAAAATTGATTAGAATGACAAATTGAATATTTTAAAAAAACTTCAAGAGTAGATGAGTTGTAATTAAAAATAAAATGACACACCAAGATATTTTTAGCATTATATAAAAATAGGTGAATATATTTACTTTTTATTTTTTATATATAAAATGGAATCCATTAACAATTTTCATGGTGGATTCTAAGTTTATCTGAAAGGAATTTCAAATCCTGATATATCTAATAATTTCTCACCAATTCAGTGGTTTGGTCTCTTTACATAGTCCTGACATGCAGACATTCCAACTCAGCATTATTGAGTTGAAAAGCTCACCAATCACACAACAATATGAAAACAAAATTTTATATTTGTAGAAAAACATGAGATTTCTACAACGATAAAAAAAAAAATGATATTTTAATTAATTTTTTCGATATCCACCTTGTTGATATGGTTATCTTTGTTTTATCTGCGAGTGTTTAATCGTTTGAGTCTTACAACTAAGTAATGTTTTTCTCCTTTTTTAGAAAACCAAATCAAACCGTTGTGTCCTCTTCAAAGAGATATCTTTTTTCTTCTTATTTCTCTTAGCATTTTTTAACAAAAAAAATAATAAATAAATAAATTCATCAAATTTCAAGTTTCGTGGATGATTTTATTTTTTCATGTCATAAATAAAATCTCACTGTCCACAATTAATGGTCAGACAATTAGATGATTGGTGTTAGTAACTAGTAATTAGGAGATTGAAAAGTTGTATTATCTTTTTTTGTTTAACAATAAAAATATTTTTGAATTAGTTTTCGTTCATTTTAAAGCTAATTCTTTTCTAATGAGTTAGCACCTTGTGATTTGAAAAATTGTATTATTAGTAGACGAGAAACACATTCATGTTTCAATGAATGATTTTAGCTACAAAGTGGAATTGAGCTTGTAAAATGAAGTAACATGCAAATAACCAGCACGTAATTTACCACGTGACATAAGCATATCACTTTACTCAAATTCAAGTTTTGTATAAATATTTTTATTATCATTTTATTTTACGAGTTACATTTTACTTTAGTACTGTTATATTTTTGTTTTATCTAAGAATTAATTTTTTTCTTCAATTTGATAAATTAAACAAAATAATAAGATGCTTAATTGATAAACTAATTGTTATAGTACGTACTTCACACGCGACTAATCCAGTTATTTTCTTCCACTTAAACGGAATAGTAATATATAAAAGTATATTTAGCAATATATATTAAGTTTTAACAAATATCTACATTCCTTTTCTAATTGATATTATAATAATGATAATCAGTTAAGTATTCATATGTGACAATTTCATTAAATAATTTCTATATCTCTTACTTTTATAATTCAGTTCTTAAATTTATATTTATTTGCGTATAAACAGAAGGAAAAAAATGCTTAACTTTTAAATTAAACCATATCATTTTTTTTTTTTGGGATTTTAATCACAATTTAAGATTACTATAGTTTTGTAGCGATAATAATTAAAATTTTAAGAGTAATCTCATCTTAACACACACAAAATTATTTTCATTATCCTATCCTATAGTATTAAAGGAACTACACATGGATATTAATCTCTTTAATTATTTCAGTTGTAGCTAATACACTTAGAGCATCTCCAATGATGCTCCCTACTTTTAGTTAATATTTTTAATATAAATAGAAAGTATTATTAATTATATAGATTGAAGATCAATATGCCCTCTAATACTATTCTCTACTTCAACTCTTTAGTTTGACAAAATTCATAAAATCCAAAGAGATTATTAGTGAAGAGGTTGAGTGGCATAGAAAATAATAATTTTCATTAATGCAATATAAGATAAAGAGTCATTTGGACTCTCTAGTATTGGAGAGCCAAAGATATTTTTTAACTCAATTTTAAAGATAGAAATTACGATAAAGAGAGTATTGAAAATAAAATTTGGGTTATATCTTTTTATTATAAAAAAAAACTTAATATAAAATAGCATTTGGAGATGCTATTAGTTAGGTAAATATCACTTAGCAGTTAGTTTCTCCACCTTCTTTCTTTCTTTTGAGTTAGCCGTTTTCCTTTCTTCTTCCTTTCTTATATAAATAAACTGTAAGCATAGCAACGAAGAGGAGAATTGTGATTTTGCTTCTCTTTCTATTTTTCTCTCAAGCTTCTCTCTGTATTGAAACAAATAGTTAAAACTTTGAAACCTTACCCAAACGAATCTTTTTCTTACACCCCCGAGTTCCGGAGCAGCCTCTGGTACGCAGGTGGCTTACACAGTTAAAAACTTTTTTAACTGCAGCATGTGCTTAAAGAAAGAAGCATGCATTGACCAATGGAGTTTGTTTGACTTTGACATGATCAGGTTATTTATTGTAAGATTGTGTATCCAGTACGCTCATTCCTCTTTTTCGTTTGACTGTCTTTTAGCAAGGAAGGAAGTGGAGATGGCTGTGAATATTACTGCAAACTTGAGGTACCCAGAGGTGGTTTTGCCGCCTTCATCATTCGGTGGTCGAACGAGATTGAAAGCAAATTCAAAGGCTGGTAAAATTTCTGTGATTAAAGCTATCCAAACCCAAGAGGAAGCAGCAGTTGCAGCTCCTACTTCCACTCGATTTCAGGCTCGACGAATGAGACGACCCCAGAATATAGAAGGAGAGTTCTTTGTAGGTAATTTAACAACAGTTTCTCCCTCTCTCGTTCCTTTTTTGGTATGGCTAAAAAGTAATGCGATGGTTAGATTTTCAGACCACATTAGTGTTTGATACTGGTTTTCTGTTTACGCTAGAAGTTTTGATATGGGACGAGGCAATATAGTTTATTTTCTTTCTGATTTGTTTTGCAGATCACACGTGCATAGATTGTGATACCTGCCGTTGGATGGCTCCAGTAATTTCTCTAATTGGTTTTTCTTTTCTAGTCCAACTTCAATCCTTTTAGATTTTTAGAACTTTTGTTTAACTGGATTAATATTAATTGGGATTATTGCATAGGTTCCTTTGATCAATCTACTGAATCGATGAACTTCACTCAGGCGTCTCAAAAAAATGAAATTGATATGTCAAATGTTGAAGATTTTGATAGCAAGCTGTTCTATTAATTTTTTTTCTATCCTACGTACATGCAGCAAGTCTTCACACGAATAGGTGAGATGTCTGCAGTTTTTAAGCAGCCAACTTCTGGGCAGGAACGCCTCAAAGCTCTTCAGGTGCCTTTGCAATTCGATTCTTTCGTCGATGTTTTACCTAGCTTCTGTAGGTCATTTCTCATACCTGATATAGTTTGTAAGGTGTTAGAAGCTAACACCCCTCCCCCATCTATAGTTGACTAGTTTGGGAAGCAATTATCTGCCTAGATTGTTCAAGGAACTGTTTTATGATCTTTAAAAGTTCTCTTCTAGGAGAGTTATAAATAGTGGATGCATACGGGTTGGCTTCCAGTTTTAGATGAACACTGGAGTGTGGTGGTAGCACTCCCGTCATCAAGAAAAGAGAAATGCAAAAGCTTACAAAAATGGATTCTTATTGGTGGAGGGTATGGAAAGTGGGTCTTTAAGACTTCAAAGTGAAACTGGTTTTATAATTATTAATGATTTGGAGTGGAAGTTGTTAACTTTTTGGAATACATTGTTGTCCACATCAATAGTACGATCAAATATTAAAGGATGATTCTACATCATGGAGGATGCAAAGAGTAAAATATGCTTATCTGCATAAGTTGAACGCATATGAATAGGGCTGTTTATTTTCTGGATTTTGTAGTGCATTCTTTAGCCATTACTTATTTTGCCAAGTTTGTTCCTTTTTTTCTAATCTTTTGTCTCCAGTGTTTGTGTGTATCATGAATGGACTTCGCCTCATTTTATCCTATTGCAGTGAATTTTTAACATATTTTTTATTGGCTTGATTTGTCCTTTAACATTGCTGATTGAAACAGAATGCGTTTTCCAATTGTATCAGCCTAACTGTTGACCTTACAATGTTTACATCTTCAGGCCTTACTTTCTTGTCCAACAAGTTCAATCCATACTGAGAAACCTGCTCCTGATATTCATCAAGCTCAGAAGACATTCCCAACGCCAATTGATCAGCAGAGAATTCCGGTAGCTTTTCTGCTGTGTTCATATTTTGTACATGTAAACTATTACTTGATAACTAAAAAATGTCAGTTAAGCTTCCCTATCAGGTCCTGGTTTGATCATGACAAGCACCGTGTACTAGCCTTTGCTCCAATTGTTCCAATCAACTTGCATATGATCCATGTATGCATACAAGTGAAACCAATTTTCCTTTTCTTTTCTTTGTCTTGGAAATAAACTGGTGAGAATGCATGATTGCTGACAGTAATTGTCCTCGTATACTGTTGCAAACTGACCAAAAATTTGATCATCAATGAGATGATCCTCTGTTTGTCGAATACAATTACAAATGGAGCTGGACTAGCAGTATAATATCATAAAGTGTATTTCCCCATAAGCCTAAGGTATGAGGTCAGGAATCAGCCCAAGTCAGTCTGGGAAAGGTTTAAGGAGTTATGATTATCTGTGTTCCTTCCTGTTTCTTCTGTGTCCCTGTTGCATTACTTTGATTATAATTAATACACGCGGTTCGTGCTCAGACATCACTCAGCCCATGCCATGATTTTTGAATTCTGCTTAACACTCAAACCAGTTCACGTTTTCTTTCTTGCTTGCTTTTCCAATTCCAAAAAACTTTTGCTTTATCTTCAGAGGTTGTGGAATGCTTTCAGGGTGTGTATCACTGTGGATATCATTCAGAGAAATCTTATGGAGCAGCTTCCTTCTTGATTGTCCGTCCTGAAGGAAATATAATTATAGACAGGTAACAGTACATATTGGTGCTCTCTACAGTTTTAAGGTCCTGGCTTATTTTGGGATCTAAACCACCATATTCAGTCTAATATATGAAATTTGTCTGACATATTTCATACTACGTTGTTATGCAGTCCTAGATACACACAGAGACTGGCTCATAACATTGATATGCTGGGGGAGCACGTTACATGTTTCTTACCCATGAGTATGATGAAGTAAACCCATTGCATCATTTTTTTTCAGAAGCATTGCAAATTATGCTGAATTATGTTTTGTTGATTAGGGATGATGTTGCAGACCATAGGAAGTGGTCAGAGAAGTTAAGCTGTGACAGAATTCTGCACTCTGGAGATGTACCTCATCACTTTTATTCCTCTTTCTGACGCACCTTTTATTTATACGTGTTCATTGTCATTTCCTAACATCTTGCTACAGTATAATTATTTATAAGGAATCGTAATTATTTATGAAGTCTCTTTCTTAGTGGATGAATAATATATCGCTTGCAATGAGTATCATTATAAGGTGCCTTTATAGAGTCTTTGAGGTACTTTCTCCCTGCAATATCTGACATGGCTGATGTGGAACGTAATTGAATGCATGGTTAAAGATTCCGTTGGCTTGAACATTGCTAAGAATCCTAGAATACTTCACTGCATCTGTTCTCTCCATCAGTAACCATCAACCAAGGAGGAATTCAATAGCTTGCATGTCTGTTTTATATGTGACAAAATGGTAGTTGAACACACGCACTGAGGCACTAATGATTATGCTCAAGAAAGTTGTCACTAACGCTACAAAGATTGAGGTGACTTTAAAGCTTACAGATAGCTATGCATATTTATTTTGCCAGGTCGACAACTCTACTGCTGATGTTGAAACAAAGCTACAGGGTGATGGTCCGTGGAACCTTGGCGAGGATGTCCAGCTTATACATACTCCAGGTCACACAGAAGTGAGTTGCTGGATCTTGTGCTTATTGGTTTTTGTTAATTCATACTCTGCTCAGTTAAAGGTTTGTGGAGGGGAGCCAGAGTGGGGAAAAGGTGAGAGAGGTAGGCTGCAGAGTCGTTTGGTTGGAAGGGACTGGAATGATAGAAGAGAGCGGATTAGGAAGGATTGTTTTTCCCCTGAATCTAGGACAACCGTTTTTCAAAAATGGGAAGCAGTGGAAGGAAAGAAAAAAAGATTACTTCTTTTTCCTTCTTCCTAAAAAATTGCAGTATCCCGTTGGACTAGCCCTTTTCTTTCTTCCTTTCCTTAATGAAAAGAAAGCAGATCGTACACCATTCCCTTTTCCCTTCTTATTTGGTTGAATATTTTTTCTGTCTCACTTTCTGTTACCTCCTAGTCTTGTTGAGATCTTACATGGTCAACAATTTTTTTTTTGAAAAAACAAAACTCTCTGAAAAATAGGTTGTATCACTGTAGTAATTGCTTGTTGTTCATGTAGCCGCCCCTTCTTAGCACGTTGCCTGCTGATATATTGCAACCAGTTAGTTTCTGCATTTGACATCATTGACGATGACTTCATCTCATGGTTGGTGCAGGGATCAGTCTGCTTATTCTACAAGCCACTGAAGATATTATTCACTGGAGACCATCTAGTGATGACAGAAACAGGGCTGAGCATTTGTGAGAGATACAATAAATGTTCAGGTAGTTAAATTCAAATATTCAATTATCCAAATGAGAAGGCAAAACTGATAGTGCTGGTATATTATTTTATGGCGCCCATGTTCCAACTAGATACAGATACTTACCTTAAAAAAGAATTAAAAACCAAAGTTAATAAATAATGATACTGATATAATGTAAATAGTTCCTTGAGTAGAAGTCTTATTTTGGAAAGAACTTGTCACTGGAGAAGAGTAAAATTTTTCTGAAGGATAAATTTTCATGAGAAGGGCTCTATCGTAGCCTAGGAGATCATTCTTTGAGCTCAATAAGTTCATAACAATCACCTTTTATTATCATGCATTCTTACCATGGTTGTATGTGGACTCATATTATTATTGTGGCAGTTCCAATGCAGCTAGATAGCGTCCTCAAGCTGCTAGATTTAGACTTCAACTGGATAATACCAGGTAGGGATCTGTTTCCTTTCTGTGAGATTTTATTAGATATATTCAGTATTCTCATTCTCACCCTACTGACATGTACTAGGAATTCTATTAGCTTCAAATGAGAATACCATCAATGACATTATTTTTAAAGTCCATGATAGCCTTGAAATGTTGGATGCGATAAGCTCAACTCATCCAACCCAGTGTTTCATTCAGATTACCTCATTTGTTACTGTCCCTACGTCCACATACGTGGGAATGTCGATGGGAACATTCTCATTTTTACCAATTTTGGTGCAAAAGCCTCCTTTCATTTTCCCAATTTGGAAAAGTTTTAAGTATCATACATATATTCATGCTTCATGACTCCCGGTGGTTAACGTTGTTACTTTGATGCATGAAAAAACATGCTAAGAAATGGAAGCTTGCTTGTGGTGGCATTTCAAGTGTGCCTTCAAGTCCATGCCTTGATTGATTATTACTGCATAACTTTGTATACTCTAATCTCAAAAACAAGTCCTTTTGTTCAGCTAGATATTGCACTGTCCTCTATTACATTGCTGTTACAAATGACACCTGAGAAATTTTTTAGTGACTCTCTTTTATTCTTCACATTCACATCCAATCAGTTGTGACAATGACGGATAATGTATTGTTTTAACATCAAATTGCAGGTCACGGAAGGAGAGTTGAATTTAAGGATCGTGAGGAGAAAAATTCAATTCTGAAAGCCTTTGTGGAGGAGAAGTACAGCCAGTACAGGTGAATAGCATAAACTAGCTAGGTAGTACGAGGAGTATATATATTGGAATAAGCATTGCCAATTTCCGTGTAGCATACAACAGCAGCCAAGATAGATAGACATACATAAAATGTGTGGTAATATTTGAAATATTATTGTAACGCCTAGCTAGAGTTTGCATGCATCTCTATGAAGATGAATCCAACTTTTTATTGTAATCTTACCGTAACGGTAACTAATACATGCTACTCCTGTGCTTTTGATATTTTATGCGTGCACTCGTTCGGTCATTTTTATTTTGGAATATATATATATGTTTTGAATATCTGAAAGTATCATGAAAAAAATAAAGAAATAGTTGGAAAATTAAGTTTTTTTTTAAAAAATAATATGGGAATGATACCAAAAGATGCCTTAGCTTAGTTAGGTTATTTATTTTTGGAAAAGGTTATTAGCCTATTGGGACGCTTCACCCCGCCCTATTTTCTAACTAATGGCAAAGCTTTCTCAGATCTGTTTTTTCTTTACTTCAAATGACCGAAGTACCCTCTCATTTATTCCACTTACTAAAGTTGAAGTTATTATCACTTAGTAGAGTTAGTTTGAACGGAAGTAGTTTTAATATTTTAAATAAGTGGTTTCAAGTTTTAACCTTTGTATACTTAAAACATCCTTTAGGTAGCTATGCCCTTTTTATTATATCTGATCAACCAATAAAGAATTAATCATAATTTTTGGATATTGAATACTTTGGCAATAAAAAAAAAAAAGTTGAAGTTGTCATCTCAATCATTGGCCACCCTGTGCAAAATTCTGGCCCCTTTTCCTTGCAATTACCGCCATTTCGCTTCCCACGATCAACAGCAATCATTTCCGTCCACTTTCCGGTCTTATATCATTCAATCAACGAGCACGTATCATTTTCAAGTTTTGTTCATAGTATAACGCAATGACTTTTACTCACGTGGATTTTGGAGGGCAATCGACGAACGAGGAGACAGGAGATTAATGAAACTGACGTCATCTCCCGATCATTCCCAATATGGGATTTTGCACAATCCTTGTTTGGACTTAAAATGTTCACTTTCCTAGGATTATAAAATTTCTCAACTTCTTGCACAATTCTTCGCTTAGGCAATGCGTACAGCAGTCACGGTTTCAATTGCCAGCTATAGTGTGCCGGAAGCCATCTTCTCTGCCAACACATTATCTGTCTAAAGTTCTGGATAAATGCTTTCTCAAGCTGCCTCTCCGAAGTGAGGCCATAAAATGGCCCTCTCTAAGAGAGATTTCTCTCCGCTGCATTAAGGTTGGTGATGATATTATACAGATTCTCGTCCCTTGCTGCCCTTCCATTGAGAAAATTTGTTATGTTTCCGTTGCCACTTGCCAGGGGCTCAGAATCTTTGGCGCTAATGCTAGACTGGGTTGTTACTTGATGATGAATTTGAAAAGATCTTTGCACCGACGCTAATGCACAGAGTTGAAAGGCAAGATTGTTGCTCGCATCTCATATTAAATGCTGGCACCATAAAAGGCATTAAAATTGAGCACTTCGTAAAGGATCGAAATATAAAGGCACTGGGAAGGAAGCACTTAAATCCACAAAATCAAATTTTAGATCCACGTAAAAAGGAGTGAACAATGATTGTTCATCCACTTTCTGCTAATATAAGAAAAGCTATCGCGGATCTAGCTGCGTTGTGTTGTGCTTTTACCTTCGCACCACCTCTCCATACCTTTTTGCACATAATTTTGTTTTCCTTTTCTTTTTGGGATGGGCTTCTGTAACGTCACTCCACTCAACAGTGCAATTCGGCACTCTAAAAGCTTATGGAGTGGAGCGCAGTTATCACTTGCCAAATCGCAAGTTCATCACCCACAAATGTGTTTCTACAAACACGTTGATAACCATAAGCCACAATATATTAAAAAAAGAAAAAAGAAAAACATAAACAACCAATAGTATAGTGCCATAATAGCAATCTGGCTTAATATTCATGCTAATGGCAAAGCAGATTCTTCAATGCTACTGGCTTTTATTTATTCACGTAAATAATGTATAAAGAAAGAGTCCTCGTTAACAGACAAAATCAATTCGGAAAAGAAGTCCCTGGAGTTTTGCATGTGCACGGGGAAAACAGACAAGCAAAGGTGGTTTTATCCAAGGATAATGTCAAGTTCAGAGGAGCTCGAGAAGCAATTCTACAGGAGGACAAAAAAAAAAAAAAAAAAAAAATTCCTTCTTTTCTTCAGTAAATGGAGTGCTTGCTAAGCAACTATGACATCAGCAAACAAAAATTATACCATTGTACATGATCTTACAAAAGAATGGTTTTTTACATTTTATGCTTTGTGAAGAATAATAAGGCACAAATTTGTATTCTGTAAAACACTCAAAGACCTCTCTCGTCACAGGCAGAAAACCCCAAAAAAAAAAAAAAAAAAAAACTTCACTCAATCAGAGCAAACAAATAAATTGGAAAACACTGGAGCTATAATTGATAACAATACAGGGAATATAAATATCGAGAAAATTGAATACCATGATACAAAAATGATGGAAGAGAAAGTAGTGCCTCCCCAGAATGAGAAGGGGAGACAACGGCAGGATCCAAACCTGTAAAAATGAGTGCAATTATATCAATTTATGCGAGTAGACCAGGTACACTACATGCGGATAAAAGTTTTAACTGATATACTCTCTCAACAAAGAAATTATTCTTACCTGATACTACTTTGGTGTCCTCCCTGAATTTAGCCTTCCAACTAAAAGACAGGCATCACAAAAAGTTTTCTTTGGGAAGCAAACTCTGTAAAGGAAAAGATATAGAAAACGAGGGAAGAAAGCCAACTGGTCAATTCCATCAGGCGTCAGCTTTTGGGGGCAAATGCAGCTAAAGCACTAGCATGTGCAGGCGATAGGTTACTCAATAGAGGTTGCATTTGATGGCCATAGAGTGAAAGCAGGTGTGCAAAAGCTCTTCCTACTTGAGCCTTGACTTCAGGAGTTTCAACTGGAGAAACCACAACCTGAGCAAAAAGATTGACCAACTCTGGAACATGTGCAAGGATCTGCTTTTGCGTATGTAAAAAGAGAAAAACAAAAAGCATGGCATCAGTGATGGAAACAAAATTAGTATTTATCTGTGTGTGTTTACAATTGTGCACGTGTATAAGTGTATGTGCGAGAGGTAGGTTCAAGCATCACCAGAGTACAACCTTTTACTCCACCTCATCTATTTCAATGATCTAATAATTTCCACCAAGCAATATATTAGGTGTAGTTTTTATCCATCTAAATCATGTCTACCAAAAAAAAAAAAAAAAAACCTGTTGATTGGATGCCAAAACGAGAGTAGAGATACAACTGTAGACAGGCATGGACTCTTCATGATCTTCTTTTAATGGAAGAACTTTCAGGAAAACAGGAAGAACCTGCAAAATTTAACCCAAGAGATATAAATAATCATCATGGGAATACTTAGTAGTCAAGAGTTACAAGGACGAAGTAAGCAGAATATTAAAGGGGCAGACTAGGATTTTGACCTGATTTAACGGGACAGACTGGGGATGAGCCATTATCATCCTTGCAACTGCACCAGCTGCATTATCCCTGACGGCATCATCTGGCTCTGACTCTCCAAATAATGGGAAGAGTCCACGCAATATATCACCATAATATCTGGTGTTGATAAAAGAAAAAAGATGAAATTCAACACCAAAATAGTTGCTAGCACCTTTCTAGTAGACTTTCAACATAATTAACCACATGCAACAAACTGTAGTTCTGCATTCCCCAACAGCCACAACATAAATGTAGACTACAGAAAATAGAATTCATAATTATCAATGATAGCGACACAGAGAAATGAAGGGAAAATGGATCAGTTTATGGTGTAATGCATGCATAAGGATACTTTATAGTTGACTCGCCCCCATTTTTGCACAATTCTCCAACACAAAATGCAGCATTCCTCCTGTTAGTTGCATCTGATGATGCGAGTTCTTTGATTGCCAAGGGCATCACCCTCTGAAACATGAGACAAGCTTTCACATAAAATATCAGAACTGCCAAATAACCAAAACTTGGATAACAAAAAGTTTCACATTGCAATAAAATTACATCAACATAACCCGCAATTGGAGCACCCATGTCCTGAGCAACTTCTGCAAGGCAAGCAACCACCATAGTTCGATCTTGCAGAGGGCGTGAAGCTTTCTGCACTTTCCAACCATCAAAATGATAAGAATCCAGAACGAGTCTTAGCACAAGTCGGAAACTAACTGGTCAAAAGGATCAACTGATAACGCACCGCAAATTTCATCAAAGGCTCGAATAGGTTTGCAAAGATGGGTGCAAAATGAGAACCCATGGACTTTGCAAATGCAGGAAGAAGGTCAGAAACAGCATCCATAAGCAATTCATCATGTTCGGTATCATCATCATCCATATCACTATCATCTTCCAATTGCTGACAAGCTGACTCCTCTTTAAGCAATACCAAAGTTGCATCAACAAGCCGAGACATATCTGTAATCAAATCACATTAAAGCACAGACCATTAAGATGTTTTCTCTGCATCTAAAAACTTTATTTTCACAAAAAAAAAAAAAAAAGAAAAAAAGAAAAAAAAAGAAAGAAAAAATGAAGCAAATACAGCCATGCTTACAAGGTTCAATAGCTGCGAAACCATAATCCTTAATGATGTCTGCCACACTCATACAAGCTTGAGCAACTACTTCCTTGTCATCATCTCCAGTCATAGTCTTGATGTAAATATCCATCACAGTATCTGCTAATTATGAAGATATGTTAATTGGAATCTGTTTACCTCTTAAAACCAGGATATATAATCCTGGTAGAAACAAACACTCTATATGCTACTATCAAGCCATGTTCCCACCAAGCATTTCTCTTGCTTTAGCCGGTCCATCCTGCATAACAAGACGCAAGATTAACATTGTATTAGTAACCCGATCAATAGTCACAGTAAAAATTCAAGAGAAAAGTGTCTCTGGAAACTTTCTCTAGGCTTTTTTCATCTCGTCTTATTACAGGATAGATTGAAATTAACTTGAGAATAAGGTCAGTAACATAAAGAGGGAGGACACAATTATTGAGTATTGACCATGGAAGAACTTATGCACCAAAATGGCTCCACCGATCTATTTTCTTTTCATTTTTTTTTTCAAAAAACAAATAAAATTCCAATTGAAACCGAAAACAAAATTCATATGGCAAGATTGTATGAAAGGTAAAAGTAGTATGAAATATTCAAGGTCATCAGTCCACAGGTGTGGCAAAGGGAAAAGAGATGCACGTTCTGAAGACAAGAAAAGGAAAAGATGTCTCTAAAACCATCAGAGAAAGACAGGAATAAGTAAAGTGCTAATGCACACTCACATTTTGACTCTGGAAGATTGCATGTGCTGCAGTCAGAATAGCTGCAAAGAACCAAACAATGGGATTAGTAAGATTACAGCAAGACTTGCAGTATGTTTGTTATCTTAGAATATTCAATCTCTACTATCTTTGCTGAGTGTGAACTCTACATAAGACAAGTCATGCAAGAATTGGTAGCAATAACAAATTTTAGGGCAGAAATGCTCAAATTTGCCTCTAATCTTTCAAGTTCTTTTCAATTACTGAGGATACCCACATCTACATTAAAGTTCTCATCCCCTCTCCTCTTCCAAATCCCTTCTCTTTGACGGTAGCACTCAAGTTTCGCTATTTATTTAACATCAGATGCAGGAAAAAATAACTTTTTTTTCATATAATTATTGATGTTATCATGTTACTATCTTGTGGTGACCTGCTTCCACTTTGTTAAATGCCTTCTACGAAACCACCAGAAGAGTTCATTTTGATAAAAAAAAGAAAAAAAAAAAATTAATTTGAACAAGCAAATGGAATGATTGGATATCCATTAACACAAAACCATCAACAAACCATACAATTGTTACTCACATTTCAAAGCAATGATAGCTTGAAGCCGAACATCTTCATGGAAATAACCTGAATGTCTCACCAGAATCTTTAATGTCTCCTCCAAATAGCTTAAAACAATTAAAGAATTCAAGATGTAATACTTTATTTGTTATTTTAAATTCAAACCTCAGCATGATGATAAAGGAAAATAATTCTGTGAATAAGGAAAATGGAAAATGGATACGGAGCATAAGAACCCTTTGTGTGAAGTGCAAATAAGCCAATAGCTTGAGTTGCAGCTGCCTTTTCATCCAACACTCCTGTCCTTACACTGATATTCCGAACTCTTGGCTCATCATGAGCTTCATCATCAGATGAGACTCCACCAAATCCATTGATATTTTCATCATCAGATTCAATGACGTCCACCGCAGAACCATCATCCAGATTGCAGGAAGCGAATGCCAGGGGTACAACACGAGGAAGATACTGTGCGCAAAAATAGCATTACACATGAACATGGGATCTATGTAAAGGACCATACAAGTTTATTTCCAGGACACTAAGTAAACCTGTGTAAAGCTATCATCCATTATTTCTGCTACATTGCTAAAGAATCCATGAGTATACTCCCGAAGCTCACTGAACTCCAATCCAAAACCCTGAGAAAATACACATGAATAAATTTCTTGAAGGACATGCTATAGTTTTGAAGAGAATTGGTAACGTCATTACAGAAATTGCGGCTTCCATGAAAGGGGGTAGAATCGCTTCCATCCTCGCTCTCCCGGAAGACATGGCAACTATTCCAACAAGCTCAGTAGCCCTTGCTCGTGATCGGAGATCCTCATCATTGGTAAGCACCATGAAGGATTTCATTAACTCGAGAACCCTTTCAGCATAAGGAATGAAAGCTTGCTCAGCAGCAGATGCAACTGAACCAATTGCAGACTGCAAAAACATTAATTGGTAAAATTAAAAAATACAGCCAAAAATATGGCAAAAAAGTTAACCGCTGATTCGGTTTAATCACATAATTTTTCAGAGCACTTAAGGCACATCTTCCTTACCATGCATGTCTCCTGCAAATTACGAGGGCTATTTTGGAGGGCTGAAAGTAGCTTCCCCATCAAAGGATCGAGGAAAGGAAGAATTTCTTCACCCATGTCCTCACAAAATGCCGCTAAAGCATAGTATGACTTTTCCTATACAAAATCAAATAAAGAAGATCATATGGAATAAAAGAGTTCTGTTCATTCAAGTTATACAGTTGTAGAAATGTGATTTGTACAATACTTTGATACTTTTCTTGTGTTTACCTTTACTTCATCAGATGCATCCTCAAGAGCATTTAAAATGCAGGGAAGAACACTTTCATAGTGAGACACAATTTCAGGCTGTAAATGCTCGGCAAATTGACCCAATGCAAATGATGCAGCCCCTCTAACCATTTGTTCAGGATCACTCAAAGCCCCTAAGACAATATGAAGAATGGGCTCCAATTTATCTTTCATCAACTCCAGACAACCCTCTGAAACAACACCTAAAGCTGTAACAGAAGCTTCCCGGAACTTTGGGTTTGCACTCTGACTGCTTAAAGAAGCAAACTCAAAGACAGGGTGGAAGACATGTTTTGAGAGGTTCAAAGCCATAGTGTCAATAACTTCTGCAGCAGCTCGATCAGGAGCAAGGTCATCATCTTCATCAGGATCAGTTGATTCTGCAAGCAAGGGGCACATCACTTGCAGAATTGGGATGACCAACTTATACTTTTTCAGGGAACTGTACTTGTACTTTGCCAGCCATGAAATTATCTGAATAGCCTGATGTGCAAAAAGTATAGGAAATTAGCAAAAGATTGAGAAAACAAGACAGAGGCATGTCTCAACTACATGTGTCAACTAAATTTAGAATGTCCAAGGACACATAATGTGATGCACCTATCTAACCTGATGACGGGTATTGGATTCCAGATTTTGACTAGAGCAAACTTCAAGAGAAAACTGCACAATGGATTTAACAGAATCTCCAAGAAGAGGTGCAGGAGATTCAATCAGCTCATCAAAGATTTCAAAGGCAATTATTGCAACATCCTCATCACCGGATGAAAGGCACTGTCTAGCCACATTTAAAATGCTGGGAATGAACTGGCGAAATTTGACCTGCACATACATATAGCTAAAGTCAACGCTTGAAAATAGCCATCTCTTTTTTAAATTGCCTTTCCCTAAGATATGCAGACCTTTTGTGATCACTGCTGAGATTGAATAATTCTGAGTAAAGTGGAGAAGTAGTTATTGATCCAACTATAGCTTACAGGGAAGAAGGATAGCAATACAGTATGGATTCCTTGGGATAGGATTTCTTGGCTTCCTTTGGGTGCCCACTTTTACGGGTTATTTCAATGGTTTCTTTAAATACTAACAGGGATTGGAAGGCTCTTCAATGGTTTTCCAATTTTTGTACTTACTCACTTAGAGACGTATTATTCTCCATTATGTAATCCAGTTCATCTGCATCGTTACTAAGATTACTATTAATTGAAGGAGAGAGATTTGGAAGGAAAAAATTCGTCCATTTGGAGCTGTTTGGGGTTCTAAGAGTATCTAAACAGTAACTATGAATAGCAAGGAGCTAATTTGAACTTTGGTATATTTTATTCCAGACATTAAGAGGCTTACTTGATATATTATGCATTTTTGAAGCACGGACATATTATGAGCCTCGTAAAATACATAATAATATAATGACGTGCAGTATAATGTGATAAGGAAAATACCGTAACAGAAGACAGGTGCAAACAGAGGAAAAAGATAAACCAGAAAATCAACATAAACAAAGTAGTTGTCTAAATTCTGCTACAAGCATACAAACTGACCACTTCATCCCCATCATTTGTAAATTCGAGAAAAGATCCCACTGCCCTGGTACAACAAAATAAATTTTACTGAGCAACCCATAAAATATTTGTTTCTTCATGAAAACAAGAGCACCAAAACATATAAAAATACTCGGCCATTACTTGAGAGCAGCAACTCTAACACGGTTGCTAGTGTCATCCTGCAGGCACTTGAGCAAAAGAGCTTGCAAATCTGCGAAATGAGGTTGAAATGCATTCCCAATAGTTTCAGTTAAGGAGCTGAAAAGGATCAATGCCACCTTACACCACCAAAACAGAACACAACCAATAAGTAACTCTTTCGATTCTAGTAAAACCAGTAGAAACGCATATATAATCAGAGAGAGAGAGAGAGAGATATTACACACACACACGCTTCTTAGAGCAAGTAGCAACGAAAATTTGTTGCCCTGATAATGCTCAACAATTCTTGATCAGGCTACTATTGCATTACAGTATCAACTAAATATAATAATAAAGAGAAAAAATAAATGGTTCTTACTTCTCTGTGATCATCCTGTGCACTTTGACTACATTGAAACAAAAAGGGCATTAAATCAGGCCATTCTCCAGCCGGAACTGCGTATTTCGCAATGATACTCACCACATTCGCACTCGCTCTCCTTACTGGAGGACTTCAAGATTAGAAAAACAATAATTAAAACAAATTACAGAATTAATCATCAAATTAAAAAAGAAAAGGAAGTGAAAATGAAATAATTAATACCTGTGTTCCATGGTGATGCTTTCAATGAGAGACTGTTTGACAAGGAGTTTGAGTGGAGGAGAGAGTTTAGCCCAGTGTCCAGTGATCTTCTTGCGGAGAAGGACGGCGGCGAGTTGGCGGACATTGGGAGTTTTGGCGGTGCGAAGGTGCTGAACAAGGGCGGGGACCACTTGAGGATCTTTGGCCAACCTCTTAATTTGCTCCTCAGCTTGCCTTCTGGCATCGTTGTCCGGCATCAAGAATTGAATCAACAGCAATTCAAGTGACTGTGCCATCCTTCCTTTACTTTTTTGCTCTTCTTTCTGTAAAGAGGAGAGGGCGGAGGCTATGTAGTAAAGGGTTTTTGGTTTGGGTTTTGCTTTGCTTGGTATTTAAGGGTGGCAGGGTTTTTCAAATAAATAAATTATAGCCCCCGACAACCTTTTCAAATAAATTAAGAAATTCAGAGACAGAAATTAGAGCAACTTATTTTAGTCCCTGGAGAAAATTATTTTAGACCCTAGGGTTTCAACGTGATCATAGCTTAGCCCCTTAATTTTTATTGACAGATTATGTCTTATTAAAACATCCAGATTTCCCCTAGTGACTGCTATGTTGGTTTCCTATAAAAACTTAAATTATAAAAGAGAGAATTTGGGATTTAGAAAAGAGGAGTGAGATCCATCTTCACTCGTATGGTCCTTGAATTGTCTTCCTAACCTTAGTGTTTCCAATCCTATTTTTCAATTTCCGAATTCACAATCATATGATTTATGTCTGCAATAATGTTGTAATATCTTTAAAAGCCATGGATACTATTTTGAGGATCCATATACTCCACTCATTCTTTCAACTTCCTCAAGGATTTTTTTTTTTTTCTTTCCATTTCTATTCTTAGCTTTTTCAAAATAAAAATTGGTCAATCCTCAAAAAAAAGTAAACTTCTTTTTCTTGTTTTTTTTTTTTTGGTCTTATTAGTTTCCGGTGAATCCGAAACTTATAAAATAAAAACTGTTATGATTCTTATTACATACCAAAATTTTGTAAACATTATAATGTAGAATAAAATAACTTGCGAGACATCCAGCAATTTTCTTGGAGTACAAAGAAATACCAATCATCATGCATTGCACACGAATTCAGTAATGATTGTTAAAAAGAGAGACAAATGCAGTTTATCAAATACAAAATTATTGAAAACCCCTAATATTATATGGATTAAAAACACATAAAAATAAATATTCACATAAAAGAAAAATATGATGATTTTGCACCTCGATTCTGTCTTTGACAACGGTGAGTAACGATGATAATCATCACTCAACCCTTCTTCTTCGATATATGTAACCCTAAACACAAAACAAAAAATAAAATGGAAAACACTACTTATTGAATACAAAATATCCTCTTAGTTTACAAATATAAGAACACACTACCGTTGATCAATAGCAGCAGTACTCAAAAGAAAAAAAACAACAGGTTCCAATAAAAGAAGGGAGTCAAATGACTAGCTATAATTTTTTAAATATAAAGAACTAAATTATAATTTAGTTCAATGCCCAGTAATTAAAGAATAACTTATTCCAAATATTAGTTTATTTGTTTTTGGAGCACAGTAGAGATTAATATTAAGTATACATAATTGTTTTACAGAATTCATTTATTATGAATCTATAAAGTACGGTAAATACATGTATTGTCATGGTAAAAATTGATGTGTCTTAATAATTTTTACATGAAAATATCATTAGATTTTACCAACTCATCCATGAGAATTTGACAATGATTGATTCGTGTTTATTTATTTCTTAAGATATTATGACAATTAAAATTAGTTTACGATTTGTTTACAGTTACCCTATTATGTTATACCCAATTAGAAATTCATAGTGTCAATTAGATTTAGTTTAACTACCATTGACATCCTAATGTATCTTTATCAGAAACATCTTTTTTTTTTCCTTTGGAAATTGGAGTAGCAGCACCTTCTTAGTAATGTGTTTCGTTTTCACATAGGCTTGGCCGCTTCTTTTATGTGTAAGTAATGTGGGGAGTAACTGTGGACACTTCTTTATATTCTTCCTAATTGTTTATGGGATAAAGTTATATGGCAGCAGCTCCATTCTCTTGCTTATCTACCTGGACTCATTTCTACTTTGTGGGAAGACTGATTTCATAGTAATGATTTTCGCACTAATATTCAATCAGCTCAACGTCGCTTATTTGTTTTGGAGTGCTGGTCTATTTAGATTGCTAAAAAATCAAAAGAAGTTATTTAGGGCTCTGTTAGTTCTTTTAACCGTCAGTTACATCCGATCCATTCTCTATTTCATGACTGTGTGGTAGCATTTGATACTCCGTCATCTACTAACTTGTCAGTCTCTCAGAAACAAGACAAAACTACATGCATGTCAAACGAGTTCAATCTGGCAGGCGATGGAGTTATCAGATTTGCAATAGAAACAACTGGAGTAGCCAGACCTTGTCTTTTATAGTTAGGCCTCATTGGAAAGAAAAGGAGAACAGATTGCCTGAAGCAAGAGTACTAGTGTCCCTCACAATTAATTCCCGTAAGAGGACTTCAATCAAGGAACACAACAACCTTGGAGATCACACGCAGAAAAGTTATGAAAGAAGCTATGTGTGTTAAATACAAACGAAGGATGTAACATTACAAGGACACTGCCAGCACATTTTGCATGCCTTTATGGTATCTAACTATCTATGGGGTAAACAATAAAGAACCAGTCTATAAATATGAGAAAGCTTTGTTCAAGCCTTCGGCCTACTTCAGTCTGACAACTGCTTCGATGAATGGACCAATGTGTAACCGCGGTCGTTTGATGGACAGGGTCTTATACAAACTGGAACAATTGGCAGAGAAATATACTGAAACAGAGTTAATCGTTGAAATCTACTTGTAAATCCATTCATTTGCTCGGCCTCCAGACTCATCCATGTCTATGAAAATGCTGACTGCCTGCAGCAAATGGTAACCAGAAATACCATGTGAGGTAAAGGTTGAACAGAAAGTAACAAGAAGCTCATGGGGTTTACAAGTATTTCTCTGTTTTTTTATTTATGTTTATTTTTTTATTTTTTTTTGCAATTCAACTCTATCTAGATCATTCATGCTTTTATTCCAAGGATCACAGGACAACATATATTTCCTCCAAGCACAGTGCAGAGTGAAACATCATTATATTGCAAATTTATCAGAAAGAGAGGCCATAAGGCATTTGAACACTCAAACTCTCACTAGTCGTAGAATAATTTCTATGTCCAAATGCTTTTGGGCTAGACAATCCCTAAATATCAACGTACTTCCTATATTGCACCCACAGTTGAAGTTAATTTGCATTACATCTACCTTGTGTGCAGTATAATTTATCAAAAGCGTTAATGTAAATCGGGAGAGGAATCTATCTTCTTCAATTGAAAATGACAAGCCAAACATGGTGCACTTCCACTTGGATGACTTTAGATTCAAGTAATTTGCTTATATGGCAGGACAAACTTGAGTAATCTGCTCATTGTGAAGTTTACAAGTCAAAGTTTTGAATCATAGAAGAATGAGTTTATGCTCATGGCTGAATTGGGAATTGAATTGGTTAAGGATTTTGAAAAGGAAAATAGATGGAATCTAAAAACCGTGTTGTTTAAATTTCTGCAAAGCAATGGGAATCAAGTTATAGGTTCTTGAGACAAGGTCTCTAATGGAAGAAAGGTTTATGCGTAACGGTATTACAGGTAAAATAGGAGTAGACAAAATGGGCATTGAAACAAAACAGAAGACTTAGAAGGGACTAGTTTGAAGAACCGAACTGCAGTGAAGGGAATGAGAGATGGAAGAGTATGTGTTTGCACATGCTGTGTGTGAGCGTGAGAGAGAGAGAGATTCTCAATATAGCATCCAGACTTTGAAAAAAGAAAAGCTTAAGCAAACAATGCATCGCTAAATTACCTTCCCTATCCGAGGCCTCTCTTTCGACTTCTCTAAGCTATTTCTGATATGGGAAACAGCTCCCCAGCATTTCAATGTGTTTGCCACATCATCAAGCCTCAATAGATACTCTTCTTCAGTTAGTGGAAAAGATCTCTACAAATGAATAAAAACAAAAGAAAGTGAATGAGGAATAAATATATTTAATGAACTAAACAAGGAAAAGAAAAAACTCCAAAAACCTCAGCACTTCCATGATTGTTATTTCCATAGGTTTTGTGTGGCAGTTATACTTGGGATAGACATCGGAATGTTTCTGAGCATTAAATGGGAGGAAGCAAGAGAAATTGGACAAATATTGCTTCACTAGCAAAATTCAACATCGCCATTCTCTCTTCTCCTATGAAATTTACCATGTAAGTTCTGGATACTTCTATCACCAAGGAGTATAAATGAGTAAAATTTCTCTTTCTAATAAATTACCTCCGCAAATAGTTTTCTGACACAAGGTCCTTCGTATGAAATAGTATCATAGAATGAATCACGAGTGAAGAAGATGTAAGGTTTACAAACATGGTAAATGCCACTGAAAGCTAACCTTTGCAAGAGGGGAGGAAACTATTTAGTGAAAAGTGTGTAATGAAAACCAAGTATGTCTGTAATTCGAGATAATGAACTTCCCTCCCATTTTGATTGAAGTAATCATCTTGCATACAAAATATTTAAGGAAAAAAGCACTGCCTACATACTTCTGATATGAAGCTTTTTTGTTTCTTGAAAAATCCAGCATGCACCCAATCATTATGATACTTAGCGATGCCATTAATTGTCATAATGCATCCGGAAACCAGAATTTTTTATCACAAGAATCATTCATCACGAGAATCAGCTCACCTGCTCCCTGTACTTCCACATGACATTCAAAGCAAGGAGATTTCTACCCATGAACTCCTGCATCAGAGAAATTTTGGAAGTAATATGTGAATTTCCAGAAAAGAAACAAAAAATGTGCAGCAGTATGGAATAGAGCAGCAGGACAATCTAACTGGCAAAACTTCTACAATGTTGATCGAGCCACAATCAATTCATTCATCTATACAAACCTAAACAAATTAACCATAACATCTGTACATTCAGCCAACTTAACAGCCCAGGGGAACAAAACACCCTGGGACATGTCCCTCGAACAGTGATGGCTCTCTTAACTAATAAAGGGACTCTTCTACACATGTAATATACATCAATAAAACAACAAGCACGCAAGATGTATCTGAAAATTGCATAAGAAGGATCAATCCATTGAACAGTGTATATGACAGTTAAAAAATTATTTCTCTCCATTTATTATCCCAACGGAAGAGTGATTGTGTAAATTCCAACGACAGTGCAAGCATATTGCTCGTTCATTTCTCAAGACACCAATCCTTCAGCGGGAACCAAAGAGGACAAAATTGCGGTATTGCATATCCATTTTGCAGAAATTTATGTAGCATACCTTCTTTATTAACTGAACATCATAAGACCTCCCGTACTTGTTCCTAATCAGAGTTGCAAGGTCTATTCCACTGAAGGTGGAATCATCTGACCCAACAATTCTTTCAAGATTCTCTCTTAGCAATTCGCTATCGATCTGAAAAAAGAACACAACTACCAGCTGAATTTAATAAATTGTTGCTGCCAAACAATACAATCTATCACTAGCACAAGACACAGCTCTGACGGGCATAATCCACAGCCCCCACGATGTTATCTTCACATAGGGTGATCTTTATTGCAACAAGTACACAATCAATGGAACAAACAAAAAAAGGACTTCAAAGAAACATACCCCTCCAGATTCGTCTTTGGCAGAATCCTTGTCACTGGCCCCATCTTCTTCCGGGTCATCTGGATCACGGTGATCATCAACTGTACTGGAAAAAACAGGCCTATATTTCCATGTACTTGGGCGAAAACAACAACCGCTGGGAAGGGATTGAGGAGTAGAGAAAATTAATCCTCTGCAAGGAAGACCATAATCTCCTGGACATGGAACCTTGTTGCTATAAAATCTTCCTCTGCAAAGAATATGTTCCTGTAATAATGCTCCTCCAAGTGACCAATTGCAGTGGTGACTGGATATAATACACGTCATGTCCTGAAAAAGCTGTTTAATGGAACTGAGAATCAAAGGCTGCCCTGCCCTGTAACTGGAAGTAGAATCCCAACAGTTCCTCTTTTTTTTTTTTTTTTAATTACTGATTTCGTTGTTGAGTGTGAAAAATGAATGGTATTCGTTCTGGATAGAGTGGAGGGGCGGACAGAATTCAACCATGAGTCACCAGCTTGGAGTTTAAAGCAAGCGTGGCTGTTAGTTTGTTCTGCTTGTCGGACCATATTTACGACTAGCTTATAACAGCCAGGCACGTGGAGAAAACAATTTTGATTGAAACTAGCATAAACACAACCAAATCCTTTTAATAATTTGTTTTAAAAAATTCATTAGCAGGACCACTGTTTGGTAATTTGATCGAACAGTAGATTCGATGGCATTGCTTTTTCAGAAATAACATGAACGTGGCACGAAAAGTAAAGCCGTTCATTTTATGGTCCCACAGTTTTAACTCGTGTTTTTAAGAAAATTTTATTTTTACTTTAGGTTGAAAGCAGCGGATGCCCTGTTTGGATTCCAAATCAAAACAATTTTATTTACAATCTTACGTGTTTTGCTTTTGAAAATAAAACAGACATTTCTTTTATTAAAAAAAAAAGTAGACATAAACCAAATACTTATGTAGTTATCTTATATCAAAATCAGCTTTAAAATAGTTGGTGGTAACATCCAGATTATGTATATAGTTGGATGGTATACTTGAAATTTGAACTTTAATGTTGCACTTTGTACTTTTACCCTAAATAATTTATCAGTTTAATCATATTTTTTGCCTTGAACTATTGGGTTATAGCATATTAAAACTTGTATTATCAATTTTGTTAATTTTATCCTTAAACTATTACGTCTTCGTTTGATTTGATCATTATAGTTGATTAAAAATTCTTTAAAAAAAATCAAATTTTGATATTTTAACTGATTTTTTTCATACATGCAAATAAAAATTCAATTAACTTTAAAAAAAAATTCATTTTTTTATGTCAATAAACATTTTTTTATTTTTCTTATATCAAAAAAATTGCAAAAAATAAAAAATAATTTAGATTGTTGCCAAACTTTGTTGGGAGTTGTAAAAAATTATATAAAATTATATAATTGATTTAATATGATTATCAAAATATTTGCATGATAAAAAGTGTAGCACCAAATTAATTTTAAAATATATTAATTTTGAAAACTACATGCAAAAATTTCGAAAATCGCACAAAAATTTTGAATTTTCTACTTTATTTGGCGCATCATTGTGTTCCTATCTGTGCAAGGAGCTGCTTTTCCTAGAAGGGATAATGTTTCAGATTGGTCCATTTTCTGTTCCATCTTGCCTTTATTTTGTAGTGGGTGTTGCTTATCAGTAGAGATGGCAATGAGGCGGGGCGGGGGATCGCCACTCCCATCCCTGCCCCGCCCTTTTAAAAATTTTCTATCTTTACGTCTTGTGTTTCGAACGGAATAGAATTTATCATCCTATCTTAACAGGACAAATGAAGCCTTATTTTACTATTTATGTCTGTCTCGTTTCACTTCATCCTATTTTGTCTTGTTTTGATAGATTTTACAATGAGCACATATAATTTATATAATTTTATTTTCTAAATAAAATGTCAAATCATATAAATTCTATTATAAATCATTATTGACGGAGCAAAACAAGACGAGATAGGCAAATCCCATCCATGTCTAAAAAAATTATGAGGTGAGGCAGGCCGAACTCGTATATGGTCATTTCGCCATTCCTACTTATTAGGTTAAGTTTTTGTTGGTATAGTAGTTTTTAACCCCTCTCTCTAGTCCAATCGTTGGGTCTCCATATTTTTCCCCTCTGTAAAGTTCAATCTTCACGGGGCGCTCGGTCTCTTCTCTTCCTTTCCTTTGCTTTGGGTGGTGTCTTGTCATTTCCGAAAAAACTTATGGATGCAACTTTTGATATAATTATTTTTTAAAAAATTCAGAGATTCTATATTTTTGTGGATATACAGTCCTGATGTACTAAATAATTCTTCTAATTTATAGTGGCACTTTTTGTAATACAAAAGCATCGAACCTATCACATGGGTCTCACGTAGGAGGGAACTAGACAACATCACAGCCGGTAAAAAGTTATGGGACCCACAAAAAAGTTCAAAAGCTTTAACACTGTCAGAAAAATTATCAGGTACATCGAGGACTGTACTACTCTCTCTCTCTCTCTCTCAAAAATACAAGATTCATTATTAGAAAAATTTGAGTAATTATTCGATAACCAGAATTATGCTCATTCTTACGAAAATATGAAAAATCCACGGATTATTTTCATAATAGATTCCATTTTTTTTTAATAAAAGAGTGAAATATAAGGATTTTTTATTTTTATTTTTATGGGAGGTAGTACAATTTCAGTGTAATGTATAATCCCTCTTAATTTGTGGTAGCACTTCCCGCCATACGAAAAGCATCGATCCTATATTCTGTGTCTCACGTTCCTGCCAAAACCCACTGCCAAAGGGAACCAGAACCAGCAATGGCGGCCTCTTCCAAAACAATAATGGATTTCCTCCAACCCGCCAAGCGCCGTAAACTCTCTTCTTCTTCTCCTTCCCCGACAGATCCCTTAAATCTCTTAACCAAAACCGTCTCCACAAAATCAACCCCCAATTCCCCCTCCACCGACCTCACTCCTGGCCAAAAATCCCGCATCGAATTTAACAGACTACGCGCCAAATCCAAACGCAACCTCAAACTCTGTTCTCAATTAGTCTCCAATCCCAAAGGCAACACTACACTTCACCTGATTCGATTTCAATTTTACTCACCTTTTTTTTTCCTAGGGTCTTGATTTGCATGTTTCATTTCATTTCAGGTTCCTCTGGTTATGTGAAATTAGAGAAACTATTGGTTGAGGACACGTGGCGAGAAGTGCTACCAGGGGAATTACAGAAGCCGTATTTTAAGAATCTGTGTAAATTTGTGGAAAGTGAGATTAGTAATGGGAGTGTAGCTATATACCCACCGCAGCATTTGATTTTTAATGCCTTGAATTCGACTCCGTTTGATACGCTTAAGGCTGTTATTATCGGACAGGATCCTTATCACGGTCCTGGTCAAGCTATGGGGCTTTCTTTTTCTGTGCCTGATGGGGTTACGGCACCTTCTAGTCTTGTTAATATTTTCAAGGAACTTGAGCAGGATTTGGGGTGTTCGATTCCTTCTCACGGGAATCTTGAAAAATGGGCTATTCAGGTTAGTTTTGTTTATTTTCTTTTGAGCAATCATATGTGATTTTCTGTCTTCTCTATTTAGGCGTGTAAGGTATTATGTATTGACTTTTAGATGTAAAAAAAGGTTTTAATTGATATGGGTCCTTATCACATAAAAGAGATGAATTTGAAGGTCAATCTGTCGAGACATAAAATAAAAGAAAAAATATGGCATTGGAGTGAAAGATTTTTTCTTTTGTTGTGGTTTGTTTATACATGTACATGAAAATGTCAAGTTAGATATCTTTGTTTTGTTTCAGGGTGTTCTATTGCTCAACACTGTTCTCACTGGTAAGATTCTTCGTTGTGTTAATTTATTTCGCGAAGGGCTTATATTTGCTTCATGCTGATTTCTTTCATTTCACTAACTTCCGATTATGTCATGCTTGATGAATAGAGTCAGTGGGCAGAAATGCTCCTATAACCAATGCAATATGTGATTCATCAAATGATATCCACTAGGCAAAATCTGTGTTAAAGAAGTTCCTTGCTGCAAATGTTGTAGTATGCAATATGGATGGCTGTATTTAAACTCAAGAGTGGATTCGCTTGTTAACTTGGGGTCAGTGGTGCCATTAATCATTGGTCTTGCTTCAAATCTTACTGCCAGCAACCTTGTTTGCCACACATATAGATTTATTCCGTTATAGGAAACTATGCCCTTTTATTCCATTATTGGAAACTATGCACTTGATGAGGCATACACCCACCATTGATCAGGTTTTATAAGAGCCCGAACGACTAGTCAGTCCCCCTTCCCCTTCCCCATGTAATTGCAAAGGATAACCATAACTCTGTCAGCATGCTTTATTCTTTACGTTATTTGGCCAACTAGTTCAGATAGTGTATAGGGGTTTGTATACCTGTTTGTATTTTAACTTACAGAAGGAGGCCACAATGGATGAGTGTGGATATCAGCTTGAAAGTCAAATATTTTAGATCAAAGGTCATTGATTTGCAATATTAAAGATCTTGATTCCATCAATTATATTCTGAAGTTGGCCTCTGGTTAAGCATCTTATTGCATAATTAGTTAACAAATTACAATATTAAAGATTTTGATTCCATCAATTATATTCTGAAGTTGGCCTCTGGAAGAATATTGACAATTGTGATGTAGACGTGTAAATTTGACGAGCTTTATTATATCAAGCACAATGCTTTTGTCATGTACGTTTTGGCACTTCAGGGTCTAAGTTTAACTTCTCGTATTTGAAAATATTCAACATGAAAGGTTCTGGTTATCTTTTGTTTCCATTCAGTTAGGAATCACCAAGCAAATTCTCATTCAAAGAAAGGATGGGAGCAATTCACTGATGCTGTTATCAAAACAATTTCACAGAAGAAGGAAGGAGTTGTCTTTCTTCTATGGGGTAACTCAGCTCAGGCGAAATCCAAGTATGTCTATTATGCAAGCTTAGTTCTTTGCAGCAAATGAATAAAATATCTTCCGCATTAACTACAAGTCTCTCTCCCTCACACACATACTTGCACACACATGTACATGTTACTCAATGAATTAAGTTTTTAGTTTATCCACTTCAACATTTTGACTAATAACATAGCTTGAAAGAGATTAGAGTGCATTTGGGATTGAGTTCCCAACAGGTATACTACAGTTGAATCACCTGGCACCAAAGCATGCATTAGGCGGGATATGTGTTCTCCAAATGGTAAACACTTCTGTTTGCTGTGTCACCTTGCTGCAAACCTAAATCCCGCCTTACTATGCACAGATTTTGGCATTCTAATTGAGCTGAAATTCCATGGAATGTCATTTACCTTGATACGGACAACTAAAAATTCAAGGAAAAGCAGGATTGAAGATCAAAGGAATGTAGAATAATGGTCTTGGTTTGATGTAGGGCCTAACTTGTCTGCTGACCTGGCTTCTTTTGTGCGACTACCCCACTTCTGCCTTCCAAAAGGCCCGATACATAACCTTTCTTACAGAAAAAAAAAAAATTGAGACTTAAAAAGCCCTTTTACTCATTTTTTGAATCTTATTTCTTATGTTAGTTCAGTTTATTATGTTATTTTTTGGATGTTCTGGGTTTTAAGCATTAAAGGCATATCTTTAATTTCTGGAATTGTTGGACAAAAGCAGTAGCTATTCTCTGATTACCTCATTTATAATTAACTTTATTGCAGTTCGTCTTTCCTGTTTAGGAGTCCTCTTACTTTTAGGCTAGGAACAGTGATAGTCTGTATTATAATCTGACCTATAATCTTTTGTAGAGATAAAACAAACATCTCTCATAGCTTTTTGTGCTTTTTTGAAGCTGTGATTGTCTAGTTTGTTATCCTTGAATTGTGGCCATCGTTATTTTCATCAATTCAAAACTCAATTTCCAACTCTAATCGGTCATATTTGTGTCCTTAATTTCAATTAGAAGTCCTCAATGTACAAAATCCTGATCATTTAGCCTGCATTATGCCTCTTATTTATTTATGTCTGTTCTGGTACAAACTCAGTAACGATTATGAACATTTTATTTTAATATGACTTAGGTTTGAGGGAGTAATTTTTTTTAAAGTTAGTAATTTATGGATCATTTCATTAACATTTTTATAAACCAAAATGACAATGTTTGTTTTTGTGGATGGTTTCATTAACATTTTATGACTTAAAATGGTTTAAGTTTGTGTGATGAATTTGGAGGATTTTTTGCTGGAATTTAATAGTTTGCATGCTTATAAAAAGATTGTTTCCCAGTTTAATTGACCAGACAAAGCATCACATTCTGAAGGCAGCACATCCTTCTGGTTTGTCTGCAAACAGAGGCTTCTTTGGCTGCAGGTTAGTTTGTTTTCATGTATAGTAATTGTAATGCAATTTTATACACATAAATGGAAAGAAGATCATGTATAATTTATCATTTCAGTACATATTATCTATTTTGCTTGGATTTTGAGTATATATATACAATTTTTTTTTAAAAAAAATTGTTTAAGTTACTGCTTTAGGGTTCTCAGATTTATGAGTTGTGATGGGTGATTGGCATGATAAGAAGGCAAAGGGAATGAGGCAATTAAGGAAGTTAGGTTTCATTACTTAGGACTAAATAGTGAGGATCATCTGTCCCTTAAACCCCGAGTTCATGCAAATTGGTACCTAATGCAACTAGATAACAATTCTGACAAACAGTAGGTTTTTTGAGAGTTCAAAATAATTTTGTTGAGATCCAACAATTTTATCCCCACTTTTTTTTAACTCGCAACTGATAAGATAATTCACGAGAAAGGAAAGGAAGAACATGTTCTTCTTTCCTCTGTTTTAGTTAATCACGGAATCATTATGTATGTTGAGTTAGTTTATTTGTGCAATGTCCCATTATTGGTTATGTTGCAATTTGATGTGAAATATAATTGTATTTCACAAACATGCTTTCTTTCTATTTATGCATCTAATATATTGATTCTCATTACATAAATTACAGAACTCGTGTATCCAATTACACAAAAGGAAATTCAAATTAATTAGAAGGAAAAGAAACCTTGTTCCCTTTTTGATGAATTCAATAAAATGACAGAACTGTTAACCATTGTCTCCAATTGATTTGATCAGGCATTTTTCTCGCACAAATAAGCTTTTGGAGCAAATGGGAATTTCCCAAATAGAATGGCAACTTTGAATCGATAGACCAGTTACTGATATTGATTTTGGCTCTTGGCTTTCTCTATATTTCTTGAATCTTCCAGCAAGACTAAGTTTTGGGGGCTCTATTTATGTATGCATTGTTGTTTGCCTTTCTGTGAAGATACTTCCCCGTATGGTTCCAACCTTGGTTGTATCCAAAAACTGCTCATTTGACCATTATTCATGGTCTTTTTGGTGATCTTCTTTGTTTAAAAATCTAATGCGAAGAACTGTTTTTAATGTAGTGGTGCAAAAGTAACAGCCTTTTTAATGTTGAGAAAGTTACTTTGTAAGGTAAAGTGAGAGTTTGTGATGTAACAGCAACTGGGAAACTGCTGCAAGTTTCATAACAAAATTGTGACTAACAGTAGCCGCGATATTCACCAGATTATTGAAGACTTCAACACGGCATTGGCCGGTTGATGAATTTTGTGCCAATTGTATGCATTGAAATCATATAATCTAGTCTTGCATATATGCCGTTCGTGTGCCATTTATCCGAACCTTTTCAACCACCATGGATCAGGGCTGTAAAGGAACTAACTCGAGCTCGATTGGAGTTCAAATTCGATTTAAAAAAAGAAAAAAAAGACGTTTTTCATTCAAGTTTGATCATTAGCAAAACAAGTCAAGCTTGACCATAATTTTAAAAGGTTAAAAACCCTTTTATGAGCAAGCTCGAGCTATTCAATACCCATGTGAGGATATAATTTTAGAAGAGGTATCTTTCTTTTTAAATGATTTTAACATATAAATAGAGGCTAGCGTATTGTATCGAGACAAAATAATTGTGTTGTTAATTAAAAATAATATTAATATCAATTAACATTTCATGATCGAAAAAAAAAGAAAGAAAAAAGAAATCATTTCACATTTAGATCAAACAATTTTGGCATCGTGATCGTGATACCCTACTTGATTAGATTTATAGCAGAGCCGTGAATAGAAGGGTCCCATCCCATTAACCATATTTCCACCCCCATTGACAAAATTGAAAGTTCTTTGAGATGATATTGTAAACAAAGTTTAGGGATGCTACTGAAATTATTTCAAACTTAAGAGAATCGTTTCTGTAATTTAACCAACTAAAATCTTCAGGAGTCTTCCCTTCTACTTTTCAATGATGCAATACAACCCTGTCTTAGTCTGAAGCGCAGCAGCACCTGAAGAGACCTTCCCCAATTAACTGAACTACAAAAAGAAGAAGAAGAAGACAAAAAAAAAAAAAAAAACAATTCTATAATCGTAAATGGACCAAGAAGAAGGAGAGTTAAGAGGCTTTCAATGCGAATCATGCGGTTACGTAGGCCTTGAAGAATCCGATGGCTTCTATTACTGCCAACAATGCGGTGCTCAAGCTCAGGGCATCATGGAAACCGGCGTCGCCGACGAAGACTTCGTTGACAAAGGCCCTGACACCGCTGCGCTTTATAGCCACCGCCACATCCGCCGCTCCCAATCCACCCGCTCCTCCCAACCCACCGCCGACCCCTCCTCTATTGCCTGGCTCAGCTTTACCCAAGAAGAAGCAGAGCCCAACAACGACAACAACAACAATAATAGTCAGAATTATATTAAGAGAGAAGATGATTATGGTAACGATTATATTGATAGTTATGATGGGGTGTTTGGACCTACAGAGCCTGAGGATTTTGGGGGGTTGAATAAAGGGAAGCTCAGTTACGAGGATTACTATAACGAGGTTAGGATTAGATATGTTTTAGGGATGGGGTTCATGATTCGGTTACAGTGTGAGGCTTTAGTCGAAAAGTTTAACGTGACTCCATTAATTGTTGGGGTTGCTAGTACTGTTTGGCTAAGGTTTTTGCTTACTACTGGAGTTTTTAAGGATAATTGGGCTAATGATGTTTTGATTGATTCTGAGATGCAAAAACCAGAAACCACCGAATTGGCAGGTAATAATTATCACAGTAACTTTCTTTTCTTTTTTGTTATTTACTCCTATGTTGTCTTGAAATTTTCGAATTTTTTTGCTGGTTTCAACTGGATATTGATGTGGGTTACATCGATATCTGCATAATGTCTTATTGGATGCTTCACTAGTTTTAGTTTTAGTGTCTGAGAATGATTACGTTCTGCATATATGGATACGGACATTTTTACGCTTCTTCTTTTTTGTATGTATAAAATTTGTAATCTGTAATTTCAGTGGAACCGGAAGATGAGAAGAGTGGTGTTAGGTATTACCGACATGAACCTCGTAATTCATTTGGTCAGCGTGCAGTGCTAATATGGTTTAGGTATTTGAGGAAGGAAATACCATTACATTATTCTTTAGCGATTTCGTTTTTGGCTTGTCATGTTGCTAGAGAAGCAGTCTTACCCACAGATATAGTGAAGTGGTCGGTCGAAGGGAAACTTCCTTATTTTGATGCTCATGTCGAGATTGAAAAACAATTTGGACATTCCTCGCCTGCCTGTCGTATAAGTTCAAGTCTAATGTTTCGGCCTATGCAACCAGTTCCTATGCAGAAGTTGGAGTCAGTGGCAGCTGGCATTGCTGATTCCATAGGCTTGCATTTGCCTCCAGTGTACTTCTACGGGATAGCTTCTCGCTATCTAAGGCAGTTGTCTCTTCCAGTTGAAAAGATTCTTCCACATGCTTGCCGCATATATGAGTGGTCAATGCCCCCAGATTTATGGTTTTCAACAAATGAGTTGAGGCTTCCTAGCCGTGTTTGTGTGTTGTCAATACTGATTGTAGCAATAAGAATTATCTACAACATAAATGGTTTTGGGGCATGGGAAGGAAGTTTGTCTGGTTGTATAAGCAGATTAGACTCTCCATGTAGTTCTCAAATGAGAGTTGATGATGAAAAAGATTCTGGTTCTCACAAGCTGGATGATTCAGATGAGAAGTCTGTTAGTAACAGATTGCGTGTTCAGATGTCCGAGTTAGATTCTCAAGAGCTTTTGCACAACTTAGATGCAAAATACAATGAGATCAGTGATACCTATGGTAATATTTCTCTCTTGTTTTGGACTTAAATTGGCATTGTGTTACTGGAACTGAAAGATCCCATGTTCTAGAAGGGTTTTTATGTTTCTTGTCCTCTGCCCCGTTTATTTATCCTTTCTTGTGCTTGCAGAATTTACAAGGGACTTGCCATCATATCTCCAATATTGTAAGGATGTGGTATTTTCTGGAGCGGGATCTTCACATATGACTTATCGGGAGGATGAGTTAATTGATAAATTATGGGATTTCTATCAGAGTGAAAAGGTAATAAGCAAATTGAATGTTCCTGCCTATGACCTATTTTTGGGCATATGCTTAGGATTTTCTTCCATGCTGGTGTTTGTAAGTTGTAACCTGGATCGGATCAAGTTTGGGTCCGTGTCTTTAGATTGCCTTCTAATGTGCTAGATACTGCTTGGTCATTTTTTCAGTATTCAGAAGTTGAAAATTTAAGTAGACTTCCAACATCCTTTTGCTTTCGTAGTATTTTCCACTTCTAAAGTAACCCAGAGTCTTACTTATTATCATTGCAGTCAATTTTCAATAATTATGTCTTCCTGGTATTTGGAGTAAACATTGTTGTTGCCCTTCATTCCTCTGACTAAAGAATCATTCTTGCCAAGAACAATCTCAGTCAAACATTAAATTTGGTTACTGTATGTTTGATTGACTACATATAACGATAAAATCTTTCCTCTTGGTATCTTCAGTTCGGTTCTCAGTTACGGTTTTTATGCTGAATATTTTTACTCTATGTTCTTATAATTTGGAATCCGCGTTGGTAGTTTCATTTTCTGGATGGTAGATGTGAATGCTACATGCATTTCTGCCTATGTGCCTAATTCCTGTCAAGGTAGTAAGTGCCAAAAAGGTAATATTTATGCTGACTTGTTAATTGTTTTTGTTATCAGTATTCTGATCCGGCAGAAGATAATGGAGCACAAAATAGGACTGTTCTTAATGGAAAAAGATCGAGGAATGACGATGGATTTGCCAAAGATCAGATGGGAAAAAGGAAAATTAGAGACAAGAGACGTGAATGCCTATCCACTGATACCTGCAATTCAACAGAAGATGAAAATTCAGAAAACGAAGATGATTCAACAGAGACGGTCAAAGATAAAGCCATTAGAAAGTTGAAATTAGACATGGCAGAGAATAGGTTCTCTTACATTCCACCAAGGCTCAAAGTCAAGAGATTTAATTACCTCCACTATGTAAGGAAGCTAGATGATGGTGCGTTAACTTATGTTGCCCATGCAGATTACTATATTTTGCTTCGCGCTTTTGCTAGAGCTGCTCAGGTTGATACCCGGATTATGCATATTGGGGTATTGAATTTCGAGAGAAGAGTCGATTGGATGGAAAAAAGAGTCGACTATTGCTTGCATTTGACACCTCCTAGTTTTAATTGTGAGTATTGTAGAGACTTGCCAGATCATTCTGATGATGATGATGCGATTGGACTTTCACAGTTGCATTTGTGAAATGCGTTATTTACTTTTTATAACCCCCATTATATAGTTCTTATGAGACCCCCTTTTCAAAACACATTGCCAACGCATCTAGAGCTTCTTTTTTTTTGGGGGCTGAAAAAAGAGTAGTTTTTCTTTTGAAGTTTGACAGGTGCTGCTATGTAAATCCTAGAAATATTCTACGCTTGTTTATGAATCTAATATTGAAGTGAAACCATGGTTTTGTATATTCGGTCTCCTCTTTTTTAGACGTAACTTCTACAAGCTGCTTTGTTGGGACAGTAATTCCAAAGAGAGAGGTCACATTCTGTGAATCAAATGTTACCATGTAGAAGGTTTTTTTAGCAAGGATCTGACATACGTAATTTTCCTCGACACTATGATCGGTGGGATTCAATAGCAAGCTGCTCAGTGTCAATGTTTATTTAGACTACAATGGCATCATATTAAGCAAAGCTTATCTTTCATGGTCATGTATGGGTCAACCTATCATACCCATCCCATGCAGTTGAGGCCTGAGGATAAGAGCATGTTCTGCCTGCACTGGACTGAGCCTGACCCTGAGCCGAATCACTGACTATTATCAGCAGAACAGCTTTAGGAATAAGGGTATGGATTTCAAATTCGGAGACGGACTAGAAAACATCATGGACAGTTTAATATTAAGAGAGGCCCACCCGATCGAAACCCGATCCTCAATTGGGTGGTGTGATTTCTGGAAGTTTGGGACCTGAATTTCTTAGCGATCCGCATTTTTTAATAGGTGGCCACGTAGAGGAAAGAAGATGAAAATATTGGATCATGTGGCAGGCCGTGAGGGCACAGAAGCTGCGATAGATAATATAGGATTTAGTAGTATCAAGCTGGTTTAATTATTTTAAAATTAGGAGCAAAAGGAGACAAACTTTGCCGCTTAATCAACGTACTGTAGAAGGAAAGGTGGAATTGCATGTTGAGGCCACTGCTCATGTCACCTAACGCAGATTAAGCAAATCATAACTCTGCTGCTTGCCTTAAAAGGTTCGGATAACAAGATAACATATAATAATAAGAACATGTCACCAATTTTGGGGCTGAATTAATAGTTTGATTTGTGATCAATAAATAATCCTTTTAGCTAATCCAATTTCAAGGCCAAAAAGACCCTCCATGCTTACAGTCAGACAGAAAATGAACCAATTGCTTGCTCAAGTCAAGCTGCTTCAACTACCCCGGTAGAGCCATTATCCCTTTCAAGAGAAAAGATGGATCCTCCTTGTTCTGCAAGACCAGAGTTGCTCCACAAAATGAATAACAGATGACATGTCATTACAAATTGCATATCCAAAATTGATGATCCCTAGCTTCTTTAATTAATGGCTACATGTGGGGGAGGAGAAAGTTTTGTTTTATTCCCCTTTTAGTTTACCCCTCTGCCCCTTTTACTTCAAAGAAGAAGGATTACTAATGTCAAAATATAACAAAAAAGCACATTCATTCCGTGCCATTGCCCAGCAATCACGTTTCCCTACATTTTGGTAAAACATCAATTAAAACATCAAAGACCGAAAAGGACATATACAGTAATACAGATCACAGAGAGACATAAGTCTGAAGAAATAAAAAAGGCTTAAGTTAATAAAATATATTAGAAGAAAAGTTAACAGAGAACATAATAATTTTGTAAGAAAAGTTACTTCTCCCATGCATCCTCTATTCTATTTCTCTCCATGACCATTAATTAGCGATTAGCAATCACTAACCAGTAATCAACATGGCTAAAGAAACTAGAAAACCAAAGATTAACTAAAAATAAAAGTAAAAGCAAATAACTTTCATGCCGACTAGTCTTCCTCTCTCTCTCTCTCTCTCTCTCTCTCTCTCTAAATCAAGATGAAGGAGAAGAACCGTGAGGAGTCGTAGAAAAATGAACATGGACTTTACTCTCAATCTGGCAGCCATCAAAGCTATCATAGTTACTCCCATTGTTGTTGTTGTTGTTGTTGAAGCTGTAATTTGTTGTCAGTACCAACTCTACCAGCTTCCTCATCAGCATTGAAACCACACTTGTCGTTGCTATTATTGAACTTTTCTTTCCTAGACCTGTTGTTATGCATCCAAATTTTGAAAACATTTCTAGTAACCCCAATTTCACTGCAAAACTCTTCAACAACTCTATCATTATTGCCTCTCAGCATCCTCCACCCCAACCTCTCAGCAAAAAGAAACATCTTTTCTTTCTGTTCTTGACTAAACTTGGTTCTTCCTCTCTTTTTCCCATGTGGGTTTGTCATTGCGAGACTGTAACTCTGTTTCTGGAATTGGGTATCATCAATATGACCAGAATGAGTAGCGCTCAAGGCTAACAGCATGTGAGGTGCAGAAGGGTAGAAGGACTGTGGGGTTGGGGATGCTGGTGATGTTGGGCTTAGACTGGGGCCTGAACTCGTTGACCCTGGGCTTTGGCTTGGGCTTGTGGTCCAGTTGAGTGCCGGTGGTGGTAGCGGCATGTGAGTGGTGGTGGTGGGGCTAAATGGTTCCCGGCGGTGGAAGTTGCGGTGGCAGCCACAGGCAGCGCATTTGAGGGAGGTAGGGTCTTGAGGGGTAGCTGTTACCTTAGGCATGAACTCCCCGCAGCCATCTAAGGCTAGGCCACCAAAAGTTGCAGCATGGTTTTTGAGGCATTCTTTGTAAGAGACCACCGCATGCTGCTGTGATGGTGGTGGTGGTGGGAGATGGTGATTTTGGTGGGTCTTGTAAGAGCCATTTGTAAGAGATAAGGCCTTGGTGAGGTGGGTCTGGAGTGGGGTTTCAGTATCTGTGTCTGAGTCAGGGGATTTGATAATATGGTTAGTGCTTGTGGTTAAGTCCATGGCTTTTTTAGTCATGTAGAGGATTGAGAGCAATCTTTTACACACTGAAAGAGAAGAAGTAGATGGATATGTAATGTAGTGTTATCTGTTTATAATGCCAAATGTCTCGAGAGGTAATGAGAATTGGGGGGGTTGGGTGTTTGTGAGGTGGGAGATAAGATGAGAGCTAGATATAGCCAGAGCCTAGAGGGATACAACTGAGCAAGACAAAGGATTACCACTCCAAGTCCCAACAAAAAAACCTCCAGTTACTTGTTTAATATAAACTTAAAGGCTGCAATAATATGGTTTAGCACATGTCCTTAATTAGTGTGTGATTTCAATGGATTAGCTACTTTTTGTTTTGGGCAGTCAATTCAATTTGGTTTTGTACTATTAATGCACATTCAATGGAAATCACTGCCTAAATATTTAGATTAAGGCACGTCACGTGTCAAACTAATATGTTTGGATTAAGGAAGGGTGTGTACTGCAATGCAGTCCTCAACGAACACGTGGCTTTACGGTAAGGGTATACGGTAATAAAGGAGAGTTCACCCTCAGCCTCAGGCACAGCTCATCCCCTGCAAAAATAGTACTACCACTATGGTTTTCACGACAAGGCACGTTATTGGTCTCCTGCCTACGCAATACTCTCCTCTACTTTGCACAAAGATTTTTTTACAAACTTTTTTGCTTCCATGGCAAGAAAGAAATCCGTTTTGATTTGAGAATTGTTGAAATAACCCACTCACTCAATTACCATAGGTTATATATATATATATATTTGGAGGGAATTTGAGTGATGAAATTGAAAAATCTGTATCAATTGGCAGCTTAATTATAAGCAGGTACTGATGATACATAATAGAGGCCGATTTGTTTTGTTATGAGAGGAGATTTCATTTGGTAAGTACATAGAATGATTGCAAATTGCACCGACCATGCATCTAAAGTGCTTTAACTTAATCCGCCAGGAACTTATTACTCTGCTTAAAGGGTGATGAAGAATCTCATTACCAAGTGAAAGAGTTGATTTTTAGCTATAATGTCCACCTTTTAATCATCATTTTCTCTCCCCTTAAAGCATCCTAATGCGGCGGTACCTTTTTCTTTTCTTTTCTTTTCTTTTTTGTGGTATATGGTACCTAATGGTATCACTTTCTTTTCATTTTTATTGAAGGAAAATTGCAAACCCCCTATAAATTATATATTTTAGTGTAATATTTTAAGTTCTTGCTCAATTCATTCTTCAATCACTGCAAGGGTATTGAATAGGGAACAAAAAAACCATTCAACTACAAACCTTTTCCCCTCTGTTTTATTGCCAAAATGCTTTTTTTCTTGGGACACAATGTCTTAAGTAGAAAGTTTTGTTTTGAGTATCTTATTAAGTCAACTTTGTACGTAGTTTATTATTTAACGGAGTTTTGGGTTGGGGTGAAATGGTTAGGAAAACCAAGTCCCATGTACTACTACTACAAGACAGGCTTAAGGCCTTTCCAGTTTCCACTACTACTTGAAATTATCTAACATGTCATCGAGAAATATTGATGATGAGAGGAAAATTAAAAAAAGAAACGAACCACTATCTGATAGACAATCACAAAAATTGAAGATGTGAAATTTTGTCTTTTTATACTTTGAATTGTGATTTATCTTGTCCAATCGTGCTTTACTAGAATCCAAGAGAGAAAAGTTTGTTCAAAATAGATGCGATTTCTGGGCTTTAATTCTCTCCTCCATATTGATAAGACTCAAGATTTAGAGCATGCTTAAGAGTTATAATTAAAGGGTTGGCTAATCCTGTCGTGAGAGATTGATACGGGGAGATAACGCCTATCTCTTTTACTGGGACAAAATGACAAAATTTGTATAAAGGACTAACCATATCAATGCCATATCTAAAACCCTAAGCCTACAAGATTTGGTCTAGAGAAAGAGGACGGAGTCAAGAAAAACTCCTACTAGTTGATTAGAGCAAAGTTCTGACAATTAATGGCATCGTGGATGAATCACGCGGATTGTGCTAGAAAGAATGGCCCAAGGTTGCTCCATCAGAGCCTCTGATTCTAGGAAAATTGAGAAAAAGGACAAAGGCATGCATATATATTTCCCTTTTTATTATCACTTCCAGTGATTTTTTCATAGGGAGTGGTTAATAAGTTTGGATGGACTCAACTTTCACGTGACATCAGCTAAATATAATTGTGGGTTCATGTTAGATTTGGTGAATTAAGCCTTATTAGACTCATCTATGTTCACCAGTCACCATAGTAGCTCCATTTTTTTTTCTTTTTTACTAGTTATTCATGTATAAAAGTTGCCAATTTGAGTGAATGAAATAATTGCACATATCATCCAGTAACGGTGGTGGTTCTAAGCTTAATTATCTTTAAGAAACGAATATATTGCACATGATTTTCCATGTTTAAAAATGGATGTGTAATTTTATATATATTTTGACAAATTTAGGAGGGTAAAAAGAAAATCTTGAAAAATGTATCTTATAAATAAGCACTACAGCTAAAATTTTATTTTATTTTTGGAATCGTTATGTCCTCTCAATTTGTTTGGATTTACTTAGACAAGTAATCATGAGAAGAAAGAAAGCAATATTGGTAGCCCGAGTGCATGTTTAGTCAGATTATTTCCATATTATCTATCATCTTCCACGAGTATAGAAGACCCTGCAAAGCAAAGAAGCAAGAAGAAGATCGTTGTTTTATTTAGCCACGGTGAATAGGACAAAAAAAAACATAGGTTTTTGTGCAATCATAGGGGTTTGGAGAGCCTAAGGGAAGAAATGCCCTGCAGGTAGAGGTTGTTGGGGACTCAAATTGCCCAGATGCAATTGTTGAAAAGCTTACTTCTCTCGATTTATTTCTGTGTTGAAAGCCTTGCATTTGCCATTTATGAACTGGTGGACCATATTCCATGGTCCACTGCCCTTTGTTTCTGGGGCCCCACCAGATATAAACCAGGAGGTTGAGATAAATATGTCACAAACTCAATTTTCAACCATCCACCCACAAGCATTTATGTTATTTTAAGCAACATAGCTTGAGAAGATAAGATTGAGAAACCATAACAAAAATGGAAAATCTCTTTTGATGAGGTAGCCTGAGAGAAGTGAGGATAAGAGCTATCCTTATCCTAATAATTAATATTATTATAGAATGGAAAAAATAAAATGATAATCCCCTCTCATTCAAATTTCATCTTATTTTCTTGCTTGCCAAAAATCCCCACTTCGACGCCAGATGTTGTGTCAAATTTTGGAAGCACGTGACCCTTTTTAGTTCTCTGCACCCTCAAGTAAAGACACAAATTTAATGATTGAACATGAAGACCATATACCCAAACACCACATTCTCGTTTGTGTCATAGGTTTGTTTAGAACACCACAGTGTTCAGTCTGGATCAATCATATTTGGGCCACAAGCCCATTTACTTTTACTTGGGCAATACCCTGCCCCGAAAGTAAAGAGTTCGACTCTGCAAAAATGTGCCCTAAATTGATCCATCACCCACATCACCGTTCCCAAATCGAATCCACTTCGTGGTTAACAAATTTAACGGCGTAGATTGGTTTTGGGAAATACAGTCAAAGATTGAAGAGCATTTTGTGAATGGTGATAGAGAGAATTATTCCACGTTCAAGATTCGGACTTTATTAGTTTGAAGCTTGCATATTGAAGTGAAAAGGATGCTCTTTGGATGAATTCACTTTTCTCTTTCTGGTTATTATTCTGTTGTGGTAAGTGGGTTAGGCTTATCTCAGTTTGATTCGCTCTTATTCGCTTCTTTGCTTCTGTAGTTCTTTGAATCTTTTTTACTTATTTGTTGTTGTTTTTGGCTTGAATGGTTTTGAGCTATATGTTATTAGATGGGAAATGTTATTTCCTGGTGTGGATTTGCTTTTAACAAGGTCTCTATGTTTTATATGACAAGGAAATCTTGCTCTTTCATTTTGTTTCTAATTACATTAAATTCATGTACAAAAACTCATTCAGTTGCGTTTCGAAATGGACAAATCATGTATGATTGGCAAAGGTTTTGGAAATCAGTGAGTGCAAACGGTCTGTAGGGTAGATTTGTCTTTTTGAATTGTTTGCCTCATTTGAAGTTCCCAAATTGCTAGATTTTCTAAGCTTGAATAGTCATTGCGTTATGATGCGATGCTGTCTCAGAAAAGAAGATGAGAGTGGAAATAGCAAATAGGATAGTTTGGAGTTAATAGTGCGGCCAATAAACCAAATCCTGCCTCCTCAACTTTTACTATCGTTCTTATTCTCTGCTCCAATCCCAATGTCTCGCTTTCTGTAAATATGCTTCAGAACAAATTCCTTAAATAATTCTAAAGATGTCTTTCCCTAAGCTAATGCACTAATCCTCCTCGAATTGCTGCCATGATGAGCCCCTGTCCAATGACAGTAATCGAAACTGAATTTATATTTGAGAATATATTATTCTGCTCATAATCCCATAGATTCAAACTGGGGCGTCAATGATATTTTTGGTGGAAGTTCAAATGTATGGGTGCAATATTCAACCCTGAACCTGATGTGGGAAAGATAATTGGAGATTTTACTATCTCTGTGTAGTTGTCTACTATAGTTAGGATGATCTAATGGAGAGGTGCCTCTTTATATATGTATGCTTAAAATGTTGTTTTTCTAGTTCTATCAGATCATAAGGAGCATCATTATAAAATTATCTACCTTGTAAAAGGGAGTGCATCCTTGGTCATAACATGGCCATGATGTATATCCATATTGATATGACTTTTAGCTTCTCTAGGTAGATATAAGACCTGCTCTGTTTATGTCACAGTAAATAAGATGTGGAGTTTCAGAATTCTTAATGAAAAAGCAAGAAAAATTGTATGTCGTCTTCATATATGCACATCAAATCAGTTGTGAGCCTTCTAGGTTAATGTATGACAGAGTAGGAAGTTTATTTAATTAGCGCTTACCTTTGTTGTGGAGTTGTTGGTGTTCTGGGTTAAGGCATGTCAGGGGTTAAATTTGAATCAATCCAAGTATTTTAAGCCCCTATATGTTAGACTTGTGAACAAACTTTGTTAATGAAGGAATATTACTATAATCTGCTAAAGAAGCATATAACTAAGCAAACAGATGCAAATTTGTAAGAAAGATTAAGGGGAGAAGAAAAAACCGTCTTTTCCTTTCTGGGAGCCATACCATCATCTATACCATGTTCTTTAGTGGTTGATTACGAGCTCAACTTGTAGCACAGAGACGATACTGGCTCTGTGAACATTTTCTCTAATAGCTTTTCTATACACATCTCTCTATAAAATAAAAAAATAAAGACTCTTGAAATAAATAATAAAAAAAAAACACAAAACCAATCAACCCATCCTCGTTAGAGCTCTTCAAAATGCAAATATTTCACTACTGTCTATTTTTCTCTGCATTGCTAGAAGCTATTCTTTCTCTTTAGCTGTCACTTACTTGCTCTTTCTGCCTCTGGTTGAAGAAACAACTCAATTTTATCAAGACCTGTTGTGGATAGGATCTGATCCTCTCCGTACTCTTCTCTTGCTCGATTGACTTGGATCAAATGTCTTGTTTGCATGTGCTGATTTCTTTGTGTTCATTCCCTGCATGCTGACATCCTTAAGAATACGTTGGCTGTGTGGCACTGTCCCTTGAGCTTTTTGGTTGTGTCTGAAGACCAGCTCTACACTCGACAAGCCATAAACTTTATCAGGTTGGACTGCTATGAAACCAATACATATAAGAAGGATAAGAACTCTATGAGCACTAAAAGCCATTGTTTCAGCCTCTGAAACAGACCAAAAGAGCAGGAGTATGTTGTTTCTGTTTAGAGCAATGGGATGATAAACAGGTCTGAGAATGTGAGCCTTCTATTGTTATGCTCCATTCCTGTGGATATATGCCTGTTATTTATCCCTTATTGGATTTGGAGGGGCGCTTTAAAGTAAAAAAGCAGGGAGGGCCCCAGAACACCCAGTGGGATTTTTGATTCACCCAAATCATAAGCCTGCATTCTAAACATATTAAGGCTGTTATGGAAGAATCTGACAATGATGAATAAAGGGGGTTGGAACAATACCCTTGAGAAGCCAAGTATCTTTTTTCATTTGTTCCCCTACATCTCTATCATTTGTTTTTTCTTTTGTCCATTGAAACAGGCCTACCACTCTATTGAACTCTTTTAACTGTCTTGCCACGTCACCCGACCATGCTACTTGGACATGCTCCGGTGGGCTGATATGCGTTCTTAGCCAATGGTCTTTCCAGCTTGTTGGCTCAGCTCAGCTTATGTGGATGATGTGAATACTACTTTTGGGGCATACTCTGAAGCAAGCTTTCTACGAATAACAGGTTTGCTGTTGCAGTTTAAGTGGAGTAAATATATTCTTATGGTATGAAGATTTTTTATGCAGAGGGGGTATTTTAGGAAATTACGGTTGCTTTGGTCTTAAGAAAAGGGGAGTTTTGTTTTTTAAGCAGGGGTGACTGGGCAGACATAAGCCATGGGGGCCACCTAGAAGTAGTAGATTGCTACAGTGGGTAGTCCTATAAAGAATCAAATACGAGGGGAGAAAAGAATGAGGAATAGAACAGCCCCCAAAAGAAACAAGCTCTTGCTTTATGCCATTCTAAGATCTCCTCCTCGCTTTAGAATTCCAAGCTCTCTTCCCTATGCAACAAAAAATAACAGTACTTGGTTTCTTGTGCTAAATGTGTTTCTTTATGCTTTTCTTTAGGTTTCTAAGTTCTTAATCCCCCCACCCCATTCAATGATTCAGTGTAGACCCACTTCAAGCCTCCCTCCCTCCCTTTCCCTCTGTGGATCAATTTGTAAATTTTTCTCGTTTATTTATGAAGACCATCTTTTCCTTTTATTCTCTTTTTCTTTACTGTTATTGTTGCTGTTGTTATAGTAATATAAATCACATGCAACTAGGAACATTCTAAAGCATATGTTCTTGTACTTTATTAAAATGGCCGATGAATATTTATGGTGGCTTATCGATGGTGATTTAGTAAGGGTCCAAGCAACAAAACCCCAACCTGAATGGGCTGTTAATGTGCTGATTCTTTGCTTTATATCTTCCAAATAAAGTAGAATATGGTTAAATCGATTGTTGCTTTCTATTCTTCCCTATCGTCCACAAGGATTAAATCCTCCCTTAGTGGATGCCATGCACATGATCAATATGCGGATTCATCTTGAGCTCTTCTTGTTTGCTTGGGATCCTTGGACATGAGATTACTAACGTGTCAGTCTAACTATTAATTAAGTAGTGTGATGAAGTCATCCACATCTATTGTTTCATGATAAATCAAATCATTACTACTGTTACATTAAACTTCAGCTTCCCACATCCACTGACTGGATTGGGATCGACCCATGAGCCCTGAAATACTGTGTTTTGATGCACCATATTTTCGGACATGTACTTGGTGTTGCTGTCACCATTTGTTTTTATTTATTTATTTTTAATCTGTTTTGTTGCTTTCATGATCAAGTGGTGCCATTGTCCAGTCAAATGTTCAAATGCCTATGTAACACTCCTTTCTTTTCCTACCTTTTTTTTTTTTTTTTTTTCCAAGGGAGTTGGATGAAAGGCCTCAGTTTGAAAAACAAAAGAACGGATTAAAGGAAATTTGTATTTTCACCAATTGCTTTATTTGATTTGAGTCCCAACCTTACATTTGAACTATATTTTCTTCAAGAAAAGAGCCAGAAGATCCCTCGGGATGCAACACTCTTACGATTTTTTTTTTTTTTGCTTGAAATTCATTTTGTTTTTAGCCCTCTCTCTCTAAGATTTGTTTGTTTTAATAATAAAGAAGAGATTTAAACCACGGCAAGATTTGTTTGGTGTATTCATAAAAATGATTTTATAATTAAATAATAAATTATTAAGTGTGTGTTTGATTGAAAAAAAAAATACACCAATTGATATATTTTGTATTTTCAACCTTGTTTCGTAATATTCAACGTATCTTCAATTAGCAAAACACTTTAATGGATCGATTAGGTTAGAAAAATGGTTTTTATTGCATCAATTCTTTACAAATGCTGGAAGAAAAAAAAGGAGATACGCAAACTCATTTTATGGTTTTGGGTGTTGACAATACCTGTTGTGTGACGGTTATGGCCCACGGTGTTCCGCTCGTTCTTTAATTATTTTCTCTTGAATTCGTCAAGACCAAATTAGGAGAATTCTTTTCATTCAAACCTTGCCAAATAAGAGAGGATAAAGGTCGAGAGGTGGGGCCTCCTGCTTAGATTGGGTGGTGGTACGGGTAATGTACTTATTCAGATAATTTTTTATGGGTTAAATCTATTATTTGCAACTTTGTTTACGCAGATGTGTTAAATAAGTTTTAATATTTTTAATTTCAATCATTTGAATAAGATTTTATAAAATTGATAATTTTTATATCTTAGATAAAATAAAAATGTAATATACACGTGTATAAATAATACATGTGGGTTCAACTTTTATATTATGGTTTTTATTTGAATTAACATAAAACAAATTATTGATTTTAAAAAATCATATTTAATCGTGTTTGATTCATTGAATTAAGAAGGTAAAAAATCATTTGATAAATTTACGAAAACAAAGGATGCTAATAGAAAGTTTAATTATGTTTTATGTGTTTGTTTTTTTAAATTTTGTTGATACCAGAATCTTAATTCATTGGCCACGTCCCCTTCGGTGCAAGATGTTATCGCAATCGAAGAAAGGAAAGAAGGATTCTACCCAAAAACAAATTCAAAAGAAGGAGATTTTATTTAATTTTTGAAGTGAAACCCTACGCTACAAATTACGGCTTTTTAGATTCTCGAGACTGGTCTTAAAGTCGGGACTTTTCTTCAGTACTTTCATTTACAGGTTAGAACAATGGAGCCCACAAGGTTAAGCCTTGCAAATTGCTACGACTCGAATTCCAGATTCCATACTCGTTCTCTTCTCTCATTGAGCCACCAATGCCATGTCGGGGCCAACACACAAAAGTGGCAAAAGAAGATTGCCAGTGCAGTTTCTGTTAAAGGTAAAGTAGAATTGAGTTACAACATATCCTCAAAAGAACTCCTGTGATACGTTTGCTAGAACACAATGCAATAGAAGAAGAAAATGAGCACCAATTCCTTGTATTAAATTAACATGATATTGCATTTCCATAGAACTTAGCCTTGACTACATAGATAGTATCTTAAAAGAACACTGATGAATAGGATTAGAGGACATAGGAGTTATGAATTTATCAGGATTCTGACCAGGGAAGGTTTCCCTGACCCTTGAAGAGCACATATTGGTCGGTACCTTTTGTGTTGGGATCCAAGTCCAACAGGGGGCTCCTTACCCGTTTTAAATTTTGCTGTGGCCATCTTAGGCCAGCCAAATCATGCATCATCAATGAAGTATTGGCCCTGATGATATGCCCATGTGGATGTTAATCTGCATCCTTCGAGATTCCATATTTGTTTTTCTCAGCCAGTTCCAATACATTTTGAGGACAAAAAGCCGCATTGTAGGTCAGTGTGTCTTGAATCATTCTCTGGAAACACAAATCTGGAACAGCCACTCACTTCTTTAGCAGACGAAGATTCTTGATTAACCCGATCGTAAGCCATATCTGTTCTAAAGGGACGCCAAAAAGTGGGAGCTACAAACAGAATGTTACCGAAACACAAGTAAAAGAGAGATGCTGCCTTGTTCTACTTTTAAGATTGTTTTTAATAAATAATAATCTTGCCTGGAGCCTGAGAGAACATATGCTTGATGCTTTATCAACAGTTGTGTTTAAACTGCTGCATCTTCATTTTGTGATGCACCTGCCAATTTGCATTCCATTCTTTCTCCATGCCCTCCTCACTTTACAGGATGCAGCTTGTTCGTTAGGTAAATTGCCAAAGGGGCATGAAGAGAAGGTGGAGCTAGCTCCTGGAGAGGAGAGCTCCACCTTTGAAGCATGATACCCTGCTGGTCTCGTGGTTCGAACTTAAAAGATGCACACGAAATCTTAATTACCTTCGGATGATTCATTTCTTTTAACTTGTTCTACTGTCAGTTCCCTCTATTGTTCTATTTGAGTTACACTGAAGCAGGAACCCTCCCTTGACCAGATCCAGTTTGGTAGGTTTTTTATTTCACGAAGGTCGAGGCTAAACCCGATCTTCATAGTACGAGTTCTCCGAAGAATTTGAGTAAGAAAAAATCGAGAAGCATAGCACAGTTTCTCCGAAGAACTTCAGTAAGAGACAATCAAGATGCTTTCACCCCCGTTATACAACTTCACAACATTTTCACTGTACCGCACCAAATTGTGGTGCCATCGTAGAAAATAAAACCAGTTTCCGATGACTAAAAAATAAGGCACCAATAAGAAGGAAAGAATTGGAAATTAGCATTGCAACAAAATAAGTTTAAATTTAAACAAAGTACAAAATACAGGTGGGAACAGACGCTCATGTTTGCCAGCAGAATTAAAAATCCAACAGCTTTCTTTGTGCCCGTCACAATGTGTATACGCATTTTAAACAAGATACGGTACCAATTGACAGCATTTTGGTCCTATGAAAAGGCCATTAAGACATTTTTTTCCGGATAAAATTATTCACTGGAGTCTCTTTCATCCTTCCATTACTTCTTTACAATCACCTTTTTTGTGGTATATTAAACAGGTTCCTGGGGAGGAGTTACAGTAGGTCCAGGAGCTATGGTAAACTGCATACCCCTCTGTTGCCCTGATTGTAGCACAAAAGCAACTTGCGTTGCTGCCAATGCTGCTGCCTCCTGTTAAAACAAATTATGGTATAAACTTCAGCATAAACTATTATAGAACATCAATTTGATGTGAAAAGATAGCATGAGCAAAGATACAAATACATCTGAAAGAAAAAAACACTGACTTGTCTTTGCCGACGACGCTGCAAGATGCTGATGGCCCAAGCCATGATGTAACAGGGCAGAAGAAAACCAGCTGCCCGGAGCAAGAAAAGCTGTAGGAGATCAATCGGTTCATTAGATCGGTGAAAACATTAAAACACACACACACACACAAATACACACACTAAACAATGAAGAAATGATCATCATCGCCATATAGCATATAAGTTGATCCCAATTCCACTTACAGAAAAAAATGTAGACACATCATCTTCTCCATCAGAATCTGTAACCGTCAATGCATGCCGCAAGAGCAGGAGGGCCATCAACTGCAAAATGAGTTAGTTTGAGATTAAAACCAAATCTCAATTGCATAGAGAATCAAAGAAAATAAGAGCTTAAATAAGAAAGCATTAGCAAGAAATATAGTAGATGCAATTATCCACCAGCATGGAAACCAAAATGGTATGTTCAGGCGACTTCCACGAGATCTAGAAGGAAGTTTGTTCAAGCCTCCAAAGAATAGTCTAAACGGGTTTCTTTACATTGCTAGTATTCTCCAGGTATTGAGAAAATATAATCATATTGTCATAGCAAACAAATACTTTAAACCATGGTAAATAACCTTAGTTCAAATATCAAATGGCCAACTGGACCACTACAAATAGTATTCTGAATAGAACTTTTCTCATGGAACCGTGAAATAAAAAAGAAAAGAAAAGAAAAGGAATAATTTAGATTCTCACAAATACTCTTGGGAGGAATGTAAGAGCTTACAATAAGAGCAACAGAACGGCAAAACGCAGCTCCGCTAGCATTTGAAGCAGCATAGTCATCATACTCAGCTTCTAGAAAATGGCGCTCAGCCTCTGCAATCGCCAATAGGCGAGGATCACGCAAATCCAGTTGAGTGCCAGAGATTGTCCAGCCACCACTGCAAGAAGGATCATGAATCCGTAAGTCAAAAGGATGTAGTGATGCAAAAATCATCATTAATAGGTAAATGACATGAAAGTTACTTTGATGCACATCCCGATAGTCCAAGTTGAATTTTTATGTGCATCAAATTTTATGTAAGAGATAAATAAAAGCTTCAGCAATTCCAGAACAAGAGCAAAATTACCAATAATTGGCAAAACAATGAAAATACAAGTTTAAACATACCCAATATCAATAGCAGTATCATCGGGGTGAGGTGGATGAGGGGTAGCGGTGTAACCAGGTTGGTAAGGCTATACATCATAGAGAAAAGATTAACAATAAAATCAACTGTAGCATATTATAAGTTGAAAATTAAAAAAGTAACACTAGTAAACAATTTGCCAGATAGCAAACAGACATGATATTTGCAGAAATCAGAATACAGTATAAGCTACTTTCATCTAACAAGTGTGGCAGAAACCTGTTGAGGCTTATTTCTCTAGATCTCAAAAGAGGGTGCTCAGAAGCAATCTACTTGATGATTAGGTTAGTAACATTACAAGCACCATAACAACAATAATAATATATTTGTGCATGTGTTGGTCATTTGTTCATTCAAGTTGTTGTTTTTAAATAAGAAAAAGAAGATTGTAGCTTACTAAATACCAAAACGTACTACTTAATATTCTAACGGTAAGCCAAAAACCAGGTTCATTGACCTGAACTACATATTAAATAAATACAAACAATTTAAGAACTCTTCAACTGCAAACAATGATCCAAGACATCAAAAGTTTAAGTTTTAACCCAACAATCCTCTGAAAAGTTCAGATAATACTCTTCTCGTACTCTTTTACTCAGTTTCACAAAATCCAAAAAATTGCCAGAGGCATACAAACCTACATCTCTTTTTCATATACACAACCACATCCTCTTCAAGATATTAGCACCTGGGCAACTAAGCCTGCTATAATCCATTGGAAACATACAGTGCCCAACACCACCTGTAAGCTTCTTAGGAGTTCATTTAGTTGCAATTTGTTCATTACGGCTTCCTGATGCTTTGCTAATAGCAGGTGTGATTCCAAATAGCTTGGCATGTTTTCATGTTAGAAATAAAAGTAAATTCATGAAGTGGCCTAAGCCACGCTATAGAAATCAACAAAAGACCAAGCATGCAGCCCAGTACTAAAAACAACCACAAAACAATAATAGACGAGCACACCTGATGACATATCTCACAAGTGATATCACCCTTCTCATCGCACCAGTGCTGGACGCACTTCCTATGAGCATACTGGATAAAAGAAATTGAGGCCCGTTAATAGAAACATAAAAAGTGTATAGTAAAGACTGACATCAATCTAAAGGCTCCTAGTATCAGATGACATTTAAAAAAGGAAGTGATGGAAAAACAGGGCCGTTTTATTTTTGCCACTAAATTCCACAGAAGCAGAAGTTGCTAGTTTAGTCAAATTATCCAAATCGCATCTCATAGGTACAAACATCATGAGAAACTAACTAAATACAATTCTCTGAAATAACAAATTTTCGAATCCAATAACATCAAATTTACAAAGCAACGAGATGAAACGTCAAATGATGTCTAACAAGAGTAAAACGCTAACGAAGAATCAAAATATTATCCACGGGCACTGGTCAGCCAATCTTGATTCAAATACATCCGAAATCCATCATTAAAGAGCACAAAATTAGGTATTTTAAAGCTGTATTAATTATTGCCCTCTCTATGCATCAAGGAGCGAGCCACCTTTCCATTGACCGAAACCCTCAATTGTAGAATATTCAAAATCTTAAAGAAATCAAAATAAGAACTAAAAAAAAGTCAAAATTTGCCAATATTTATTATACCTTGAGGCTGCCATTGCAAGCACAAGGCTTCTCTAAATTGCTGACAGAATCCTCCTCCTGGCAAATGCGACACTCGCCCCCCTGAATCAACGGCTCCTCCTCCCCTTCCTCCCCTGAAACATCACCCTCGCTTCCTTCATTTGCCCTCGAGCAGGAAGGGCCAACATCGGCCTCCTTAACGATCGCCTTATCAGAATCCTCAACAGCCACCGTCGACGCCGGCCTTATGAGTCGGTCAACGTCCAACACCACGTGATCACTCATTTCAATACCTAATTTCTTTTTCTCCTCTTCAAAACTGAAAAAAAAAATCAAATTAAAACAAAAGGAAAGAACAAATTGGTTTGTATGAAACCCTAGGATCACGCGCAAAATTCAGCGACCGAATGTTTCAAGAGAGAAAATTAAAGAGAGAAAAAAGGAAAAAAAATAGATTGTGAATTTTTTTTAAGGTTGGCTTACCTTGTAATTCTTTTTTTTTTTTTTTGTATTGACGCGAAATAGGTTTGTTTGGATATTTAAGCGAGGAAACAGAGAGACCAAAGAGAGAGATTGAGAGAACAGGGAGCAGGTAAAAGCGCGTTATCTAAAACTTGCAAAACGGGAGAGGGTCTGGTCACTGGTGACCTTAGGAATTCACGATAATTATTATTTAATTAAGTATTTTTCACTAATTTAATTCGTATTTATAGCAAGAAGGTTTGGTTTTTTGGGTTTTAACAATTGGAGTGTTTTGGGGTTTAATTAATGGAGGAGTCAAGAATGGATGGCTAATGACTTAACTTCCGTCCAGTTTGAGGGTAGATTTGTCATTTCACAACGGAATGCCGCGTTGAAATTACCTTGTTTTTACCAGACAGGCGTGGGGGTTTGTGGACCCCCCAATTATTATCGCTGGGTTATCTGGGCCTGCGGCTGTTAACTCATAACCATTTCAACTCCTTTTTTTTTTCTTTTTTTCCTCAGAATTCAGTTATCATCTTTCAGACTAAATAATAAATTAGTCACTCTCATTTCAAAAAAACGAATTAATTAATCTTTATTTTTTAAAATCTACTTATAAATTAGTTTTTTTCTCATTTTAATTTATTTTTATTTTTTATTTTAAGAAATATAAAAATGAAAAAAGATGAAAAAATAAAAAGATTAATAAGAAAATAAAAGATTTTATGAAATAAAAATAATATTAAATTAAATATGATTAATACTGATTAAATCAGTAAATAATAATTTTTAAAGTAAAAAGGATTAATTAATTTATTTCTTAAAACTAAAGGGACTAATTTATAATTTACTCCATCTTTTCACGGGTGAGGGAGGCCGAGGTTGTCAATTTCTAATACTATGGGTCTAATTGAAGATACTAACAGTGTTGCTTTTGAGAACATTAAATTACGACGAAACAACAAAAATTAACTCATTGCAGTAACCCATGTCTCCCATTTAGTTTCTTTAATTGCATTGTACTCTAATCACAATGTGTCATTTTTTATAATTTTCTTAATTTAAAGAGTAATATTATCCTTACATAATTATTTCATATAATTCAATTATAAAAAAATCAATCATTTATTTAATATATGAAATACCGGTTTAATGGTTGTTTTTTTTTTCCATAAATGAATAAGGTAAGATAATTTCATTAAAGTAACATAATTTTTACTCAAATTGTACTCTCATTTTCAAAGGTAACGAATTTGCTATCCCAAACGATTCGTGACGCAGCCTCTTTCTCGTAAATAGAAGGGATTAATTTGATCATTTTTACTTAATCTTTAATCTTTGTTTTAAAAAGGAAAAAATTATGTACAGCTCGCTATCCACATCCTGTACAATCGACATAGTGAGTGCATGTGCATGAGGATTCTTTTTCGTTTTTCGTTGTATTGTGGCTTTTATCGATGACAAATGCACGTATATATTTTCTGTCTGACCAGATTATACAGTCACTGAACATTTGTCGAATTGCCATCATGCGGCGTATTTTTCCCCGAACAGATTGACCGAATTAACGAGAACAAAAGTAAGTTTCATTTTTTATAAAAAATGGCAAGGAAAAAGAAGAAGAAAGGATCTCATTTTTTAAAATACCATGATGGTCATATTCAGTAAATTTAAAATGAATCATCATGATTTGATATGTAATAAAAATAGAAATAATTTAATTATTTATTAATATTTCATTTCTCTCCCCTATTATTTGAATTCAAAACCAAATCATTATAATTTATTCCATGATAAAAAATAAAATAAATCAAATATTTGTTAGTGTTTTATTTGTAATGCTAATTTTACATGATTGTCTTACCGAATTCATTTATCAAAAAATATCAATGGTCTGATTTATCAGAGTTATTAATGAAACTCAAATTTTTTTTTTTTTTTTTTTAATCTCTAAGGTACTATAGCCCTTAGGCTAGTGGCACAACCATTAATAAGATAAGATGGCAATTGACCCTTTTATTTTTTTAGAAAAGAATACTACTTGTTTACCCCACATCAAAATAAATAAATAAATAAAATAATTAAACTCAATTCGTGTGTCAGTGTCACATGGGTACTAGGTAGAGTTTTAATAAAAAAAAAAGAAGAAGAAGAAGAAGAACTAATGCACCAATAACCAATTAACTAACCAATAGCCCAAACCTCAAAATTTCTAAAACCTAATTACCTAAGTCTCTTTGGCTCTCACCTCTCTCTCTCTCTTGTCGGTAATTCTAATATTGTTTGTCTTTTTCAATTCTTGTAATATCTTTTTATTTAATTTGATTATTTAATTTGTTTTTCTTATTTATATTGTTGTCCTCTCTCTTTTTTTCTCCTCTGCAGATTATCTTTCTTTTGATTAAAATAAACTGGTTCAAAATTCCTTTTTCATGAAAAGTTTCTTCTTCATTATTCTTATTATTATGGTTGGGTAATTGTTGCATCTATGATTTATCAAAAGCACATGTTAAGATTAATTTATAGATTGTATATTATAAATTATTAGTTACAACGAAAATTGGGCTAAAATAATTTTATTTAATTATTGAGTTAAACAAATAAAATTATAGAACCTATACTTTTTAATGGGATTATATAACTTATATTGTTACTATTGAGTGGAATTAACCAATATAATATATTTTTGATAACCATTATTGATTCTCTCTCTCTCTCTCTCTCTCTTTCTTTTTGTAGTTATAGAAATATACTCTAATAGAAAAATTATGTCCGAATCATTGCCACCTATTCAAAACCAAAAAAGTTACGATGAAGAGTGCCACAATTTGAAAAAAAGTTCTTATGAACATGATTTAGCAAATCTTCTATCAAATGCTGCACAGACTAAAACCAATTATGGATTATCATCCTAATATAAGGGATGAAGCTCGAAAAGCATATCTACAAAAAGGACCTTATTAACTTCGTGAACATGATTTTAAACAAACTCTACAAGAAGAATGTTTTAAGAAGATTTAATTCATCTTTATTTGATGAACATGGCACATGGTTAGAATATAGTAAGGTAAAGGAAGTGGCATATTGCTTATGTCGTTAGCTTTTCAAATTAGATAGTAAAGAGCACGAGCGTAGCGGCGATGCCTTTGTTGTGGAAGGTTTTAGCAATTGGAAAAAAAAAAAAAAAAAAGAAGAGTTACAAGCGCATAGAGGAGGTCCTAATAGTACACACAATCGAGCTTCCCATAATTGCCAAGCTTTGATAATCAACAACAACCTCTCGCAAATAATTGTTAATAAGCAATCAAGACAAGCTCAAAGTGACTATCGGATTCGTTTAAATGCTTCAATCGATCGTGTTCAATTTCTTTTAAGACAAGGTTTAGCTTTTCGCGGTCATGAAGAATCGTATGATTCGGCTAATCAAGGAAATTTCAAGGCAACTTTAAAAAATTCTTTGTGATCATAACGAGGATATCAAAAGAGTTACAATAGATAAGTGTCTTGAAAATCTTAAATTGACATCTTCGGATATTCAAAAAGATATTGTGAGTCCTTATGTAATTGAAACTAACAATTTCATCATTTAAGACATTGGGAATACTTTCTTATCTATTCAAATGGATGAAGCTTGCGATTTGTCAACTAAAACAAATGGCAATTATTATACGCTATATGAATAAGGAAGGCAAAGTGATTGAACGTCTTTTAGGTATTAGGCATGTTGGAAACACCAATGCTTTGTCATCAAAGGCCGCAATTGAAGTAATATTTGCCAAGCACAACTTAAGCATGTCACGTGGTCAAGGCTACGATGGGGCAAGCAATATAAAAGAAATGGTCTTAAATCTTTAATCTTAAAAGAGAATAAAAGTGTTTTTTATGCTCATTGTTTTGCACATTAACTTCAATTAACACTTGTAGTTGTTACAAAAAATCACATGTCAATTGCCTTGCTCTTTAATTTTGCTTCAAGTGTTGTAAATGTTATTGAGGGATTTTGTAAGCTCCATATATGCTTTTGGAGTTTCAAGCTATTAAAGTTTTAAAGGCAACTGAAAATGGTGAACTTGAAAGTGGGCAAGAAAAAAATCAAGAGTCTACTCTTAAAATGGTTGGAAGACACGATGGGATTCATATTACACTACTTTGATTAGCTCGATTGAGATGTTTTCTTCTATAATTGATGTCTTTAAATTCGTTATGAAAAATGGAAAGTTTGACCAAAAAGTTGAAGCTTGCACTTTATTGGATTCATTGCTATCTTTTGATATTTCATTTTGTCTTCATTTGATGAAACGTATATTAGGAACCACTCATGAATTATCACATGCATTGTAAAGAAAAGATCAAAATATTGTGAATGCTATGACCTTGGTTAAGATAGCTAAGCAACTCTTGCAAATAATGCAAGATAATGGATGGAATTCGTTGTTGGATGAGGTGTCTTTATTTTGTACAAGCCATAATATACAAGTCCTTAATATGGGAGATACACATATTACTATGAGACGATCTTGATGTAATACCGAGAAAATGACAAATATACATCATTACAAGGTTGAATTATTTTATGCAGCTATACATTTGCAACTTCAAGAGCTTAATAATTGGTTTGATGAGGTGAACACGGAATTGTTTTTATGTTTTGCATGCTTGAGCCCAACTAATTCACTTTTCGCGTATAATAAAGATAAGTTGCTTTATGTTGCTCGGCTTTATCATGTTGATTTCTCTCGTTATCCAACTTGTTGCTTTTAAAAATAAATTGGAAACATATATCATTGATATGAAGTCTAGTTATGAGTTTTTAAACATGAAAGGAATTGGAGATTTTGCTAAAAAAAGGGTCCAACCGAGAAAGGATAAAGGATATTTTGTATTCATTGGTTCATAAACTCATCATCTTAGCCTTTGTTCTATCGATTGCAATCGCCACGGTTGAGAGAAAGAGAGAGTATTTTTTGCTATAAAATTTGTAAAGAATCGGTTACGTAACAAGATGGGAGATCAATGGATGTTTGATTGTTTGATCACATATATTGAAAATGATAAAGAATAACAATAACTCTTTGCAACTCTTTCTATTTTAACCAATCATTTTGGAGTTTCCTATATATACAACTATCTAAGGAGTTTCCTATATATACAATAACTTAAATTTGAAATCACTTATCTAGACGACCGAACTCTTTCTATTCTAACCAATCATTTTGGATAACAAAATTTATGTTTTTTTATTACATTATATATCCATATAGTAGCTAATGCTTTTTCAATGGATAAATTGTATAAAAAAATTATGTAAAATAAATATTACTCGGTATTTTATTTTCATCTAATCCAAATAATTGAATTCAAGGTAATTGTGATATTTAAAACACGACAGATCATGCTTTTTAATAACTTAAGAACATGAGAGAGGATCCAAATTCAAAACAAGTTCTCCAAGTTAAAAATCTTAATGGAAAATATAGAAAATTTTTATTTTCTTAATAGAAATGGAAAGAAAGATAATTTTTGATAGGTGAGAAATGCAAGCAATGATCTTATTTTCACGTAAAGAAATTTTAAAATACGTAATTTCTAAGTAACAAGGAGTTAGGCACTTTCGGTGAAGACTGGCATTTCTTCATCAGATAGTAATTGCTCGATTAATTATTAGTGATGTTGAGGCTTTCTCTGCCATCTTCATGATCATTTCAGCCCTTTGAAGTTTGACCATCTATCTGCTTGCAAGTTGCCATATTTCTCCTCCCCCACTCCCGGGCCAAAGCTATAAGCTAATCTACCAATTACCAACCTATCACATGGGCACAACAACTTGGCCACATGGATTGGAACATTTGGTCAAGTTATCCATGTGGCCAAGTTTGGGTCCATTTATCTCAAAATACAATATTTTTGTGAAAGACAGATTAATTATCCCATACTAAAACTTCTACTTTCTTTCTTCTATTTACGAGCTGGATTGAATCATCATGACCGCTACGGCAAGCCCTATGATGATACTGTGTCAGCATAGACAATATTTTGATTTTGACATCGACAAACTCGACATTATCTATGTCAACGATATTGCTAATATCACCAGTACGGTCACACACGTTAACAACAAAATGCAATCAATATGGCTACAGAGCCATGTCATTTGAAATAGAGATTCGAATTTATTTTATCCTCTCTGCCGGGGAGTTGTGAATTGTGATTACTAACCGAGCCATGTACAAAATGAATTGATGCATTTACATGTAATCTATACGGGTGGTCTAAATCAAGAATCTGTATAGATAAAAGTTGTAAAAAACTGTTTATAAAGACAAATGCACATTATTTTTTGAATGAGCCATAATTTTTAATTCGAGTGTTTCGATTGATGTAAATATCGAACAATAAAACTCTCAAAACCTATTTCGATGTAAAACTTCACTCTTAATACCTAGTTTCAGAACTTCTTGTGATTTGACCTGCAAAAAAATCTCAATTTGCTTGTGTTTAGGAATTAAAACCTCCAATTTATATCTTTTCTTAATTTCCGTATTTTCACTATTGATTCCAGATTTCAATTTTATTTTATTTTATGTGTTAGCCCTCGGTGAATTACATGAATGGCCTGCTGCCAATTCTAAAAGGACCATGACTAATCGTTTCTCGGGGTTCCAAATCATACGGTTCAACCGATCTAAATTTGAATTAAAAGGAGGGTTCCATAGCACATGATCACCATCCAGAGAAAAAAATTGACAGGTTGTTGTAAAAATGTCCGTTCATGACGAATGCCAAGCTTACTGTGTTGAAGTTTTGAAGCAATTGCTCATTCACCTGCCTCGCCAATGAATGCTTCTGATTTGTTCTCTCTCGAATGGATAAACATTCGGAGGTTATTAATGTGAAGGGATATTTAATTTTATTCTGATTTTTTTATAACTATTTTATTATCTTACTTTTTAAGTCTAAAAAAGCATTATTCTTATTTCATATGATTTTTCGAAAATCATGTAAAAGTCTCGAGCTGTCAATTATTTTTTGGCTGTAAATGATGATTTTCCATTGAAACCAGCTATCGTATATTTGTATTCCTGCTTTATCCCCATTTCTGTCCTGAGTTTGTACTGGTGGTCTGGTAGAAAATTCATCATAAGCCGCTCATCTTCGTGCAATTAATTAATGGAGTCCAGGGATCTTTTATCAGTGAATGGGCAAGGCCGATGGTCACTATCTGACGACCAGTTCCAACATTCAGGTGATAAATCTGGATCATGTCCTTGTAACTTCTTTCCCCATAATAGCAGATGCCTGATTTGGCAAGATTTGTGTGTTCAAACTCCAATTTTGGCCTCCAACGGTGCCAATGGACAGCATTTTTCGTGCCTCGCCAATTTTTTGCATCAGGTTAAGGCTGTGCCCAAACATCAATGGCACAGACGTACGCAGCCAATCCATTAACCAGCAGAGAAGGCAAGAAATTCGTCTGTACACCAGTACGTATTCCTCTTGCCAATGAAAAGAAAAGCACCATAAGAATTGAAATGGAATCGAAATGCAATACACGAGGATTTGAAAAAATGAAGTGAATAAATACTAAGTAACTCATTTTGATACAACACAATGGACAGTGTTAAGATACAGAACTCCTCCATCTAGGTTCATAATTTTGTAGTTAGGCAATGAGGAGGAAACATTTTGTAAAAGTAATAATCAGGATTTGAATTCCCGCTAGATACAAAATGGGAAACTAATCTTCTATCCTATATTGCTGTACTTCACTAGTTACACGGCTTTTTTTGGATCCCCGCATGATACATCTCACCTTCCCAATGAATTGGTAAGCTTTAAGAGTGGGTGACTGTACAGTGGAACAGGGAACTGGGAAAAATCAAATGATGCTTATTGTGACTGACACAAGCTTCCACCTCATCTACAAAGCCAGGAATGTGCATTTGCATCCTGCCACATATGCTATCAACTTTTTCCAACTCGGGTAACTATATACCGTCCTTTCTCTAGATCATAAACTGTCTTCAACTGGGGCTTCCTCCACTTCGATATAGACCATGCTACAAACATCAATAATATGGCTATGCCAATTAGAGAGAGTAGTGTGGGCGAGTCATCACTAATAATAGTCGCAATCCAGTCAGAGTGCACCGTATCCAAGGCAGCATTGGTATGCAAGATGAAAGCTCCCAATGCCCAATCAAGTGGGGTTTCACCAACCTGATTAGCAAATCCAATTCTGCAGTGACACCACTGATCAATAATTTTGCAACTGTTGGGATGATAATAATAATAAACAATTGAGATGTGAAGAAGTTTATGCAACACATGCTCACAGAGAGTGATAGGAAATCCTTTGCAAGGCTAATGTAGAAACATGAGCAGTTCAATTACTGGACTCAATTCAGCAATCGAAGAACCATACGATTCTGTATTCAAAGAAAATGCTCTTTGCAAGTGGTGGGTGAGAAATTTACCTTTGGTCATCAAGTGCAATACCAAGGCTGTCATGAAGCAGGGCAACAATATATGCTGAGGAGAAGCAATAGTGCACTAGATCCTCATCTTTGAATGACTGGTGTTTCTTTTTCAACCTGGACCAATCCTCTCCACAAAACTGTTCTCCAGCTACTATGAGATTGGAAAGAAACGCCCTTTGACCCAGTCCAAAGAACTAATCAATCAAAGAGGACAGAGAACAGATAAGAAAGGGACTTGGAAACATATAACCAGAGCATAATTTAAGCATGCTGGATATGGTCACAACCAAGACTAGAACACCATAGGAAATCTTAATTGTTGTTTCTCCAACATGGAACACAAAACATGAAGAAACATTAAACTGTAACATAAAAAGAAGGGGGATTGTAAAACCTTTGATGTATGGAAGAAATTTTCAGTGGCCAAGAACTTCCCCTGAAGCTTAGGTATGAATGTTGATCCTATGTGGCAATCCTGATAGGAACATCTCTCTACATCCAGATAATAAAGTAACTAAAAGAACAGAAAACTATGACAAAATGTCATGCTACGATTCTTCTAAAAGAATTTCAAACCTTTTCCCTTGTGTAACAGTGTTAGTGCAGCTGATCTGCACTCAGAAAAGTTGCCCCTAGAATGAAGAGTGGATGCAAATCTGTTCTTTTCAGTCAAAGAACCTGGGGAGAGCTTCCAAGACTCCACATCATGTGAGTATCCCTTGGGAGTACAAGGATCCATAACTATTCCCTTTTCAAGAGATTCAGCAGCTGCATTATTGGGGAAATGCAAGAATTTATGTTAAGACATCCCATTTCTAAAACCAATAATGGCATAATGAACTAGTGCATATTGACCATTCTAAACCAATCAAAGATCCTAAAATTAAAATCCAACAGTAACTTTAACAATCATTATGCAAGACCCAATGAAAAAGAAAAATATCATATAGCCTGCATCAAAGATGACCCTCTACTCCAAGCCAAGGAACTTCAAGTAAGAAGGGAAAATTATATCCCAAATTTGTGTAGTAGCAACAACAGTAAAGAACTTCATCCACCACATTCAAACTCACAAACCAAATTTGTGTAGTCGCAACAGCAGTAAAGAACTTCATCCATGACATTGAAACTCATAATTGTATTTAAATCCTTAATTACATATAAAAGCCCGAACTCTGCCAAAACATTTGAATGGAGAATAGCTTCATTATTTTGTGTAATTTAGTCTTTATGTTACTTAAATATAAAAGGATTTTGCCCATATATAGTCCCTGTATTCTTCAAATTGCTTTGATTGAGACTGTCCTCTTTTTCGTATTAATTGAGTCCTTTTACTCTTCATTTTGTTTTGTTTTCGTCCCTCCGTTATAACGTTGTTAGTCCGTAAATTGACATAACACGTCCACTCCTAAATGTGTTACGCGTGTCATATGAGGGACCCAACAGAGGGACTCAAACACAATTCAGATAGTACAAAGATCAAATTATTTTTTTTTCTTTTTTAGTTTTCATTTTATTGTTTTCTAGGACCTCATCTTAAATGCCGTGAAACGAGTTATATGTGGGACCTTATTACAATAAAACTATCCTATGTATTTTATTATTTTTAAATCCTTATAATAATTTTATAGTTTAAACATAATAAAATACATACTAAATGAATCTAACATGCAATTAAAAAAAAAGAAGAAGAATGCTGACTAATAGCTAATTATCTATATCAAAAAAGTAAATGTGGTTCAGACCTTAGTTTTTTAGGGAGAAACCCTATTTTTCACTTTAAATTTGTCAAATATTCAAAACTTCTTACTTTTTGTGGAGAATTAGACCCATTAACTACAAATCTGTGGCTAAACAATATTGCAATTACCTTTTTTTTTAATTTTAATAATTGTAGATTAGTTTCTTTTCTTTTTTTTGATGTATATTTTATTATTTTTAACTTATTATAACTTCTTTTTTTTTTTGAAGAACACTTTACGGTTTTATTGTGATTGAGTCTCGGATATGACACATTTTGTGCCTTTTTAAGATGAGGTTTTTTTAAAAAATAACATGGAAATTAAAAAAAAAAACAATAATCTGGTCGTTGTATTCTTCTAATTATGTTGGTTGAGTCCCTATGCCTTTTGAATGGTTTTAATTGAGTCCCTCTATTAGGATTCTATGTTGATGTGCCATGTCAACACGCGAACTAATGGCATAATAACCAAGGAATGAAAACAAAACAAAATAAAAAGTAGAAGAACCCAGTCAATACGAAGAAGAGCACAAGGTCTCAGTACAAAAAAAAAAAAAAAAAAAAAAACAGAAACCATATATAGGCAAAACCCAGATATAATAATAAGAAACTCCTAGAAGAAATCAAACTCTTCCTCGCACCTTTTTTTTTCCCGTAACCTCACTCCACCTTTTTATTCTGAGTTTTTTAATTCTATATGTTTTAGTTGTTTTCTTTCTTTGAACTACTATATATCCTATTAATCTACTTATCTGAAATTAATGTGAAAAATACACATCACAATGGCCTATAGATAATATAAACATGCACATTAATAAAAGATACATAATTATTGTCATTCCCTTGAATTGGTCATGTATATATAAGACTTACAGAGCGTATTGAAATATATGACAGCGAAATTTTACCATGTAATAGAATAAATATAACTATATTTCAAATAATACTTTTAAATTGATTCTCAACAAAAAATAAAATAAAAAGATAGCATTTAATTCAGATTTAAGAAATTTAAAAACAATAAGCACAACATACTTACCCGAATGATGGTTTCCTGAGACAAGAGATTCCCTCAATGCTTCAAATGCAGCATTCTACAAAATTAAAAGGTTATAAGCTTGGATTACTTATTTTTATCTCAGCATCCAAGAAGAAATCGATAACCACAATTCAAAAGTCTAGCAACGAAGATAAGTGCAATCAAAAGAAGTCACCTGAGACACAAAAAGTTCTAGAAGAGTTTTGCAGATTAAAATTATGCAGTTGACACATTGATAAAAAGATTAAAATACTGCCCATGCAGACAACACTTTCATTTAGCTAAATAAACAATATAGAAGTTACTATGCTAGGAATTTTGATTTAAGCTCATCTTCAGTTTTTCCTCTCTTTTTTTCCCCCTTCCTAGTTGAGTATATTTCCTTGATTTAACAAGGTTTTAATGTTAAAAATGGCATTGGGCTTTAATCTTACACAATCCAACAATCTCGCATTAGCCTAAGCTATGAAAAAGAAAAACCAAATATGTATATTGATTCTGCTCAAGGCAAACTTGAAAAGCATCATGGCACAAGCAAGAAGTAGGATATAAAAAGTCTCAAATGAACATTGCTATTCTAGAGAAAGGTTACCTGTCCAAAATGAAGAAAGCTATGGCTATAGATATTGTAAGTAAAATTCCCAAACTTAATAGTACGTGAGAACTCAGGAGGCACTGGCTCAGTTGAAACAAATGTCACCTGCAACAGAAGCATCAAACAGGAAGCATAGATAACAAATTAACATTACTTAAAAGCATGAAAACAGATAGTAAGTTCAGGCAATATTAACTTCTTAAAAAAGATGTTTTGCATAGACCATTAACAACCAACCAACTTATGGAACAAAAGAAAAGATCTTCTCTCAAACCCCTAGATCTAGAAATAGAACTAATAAGGAAACATTTTCATACTACGTAGATTGTTAGAACATTGCAAACTCGAAGTGCCCCAACATTATGCTAAAAACATTGCCCTTGAATGGCCATTCCACATTTTCAAGACTGATTCTCATTGCTCACTATCCTACTGTCATAAACTCAAGGATTTTCAGTGGCACAATATAACATTTAAAAAAAATTAAATTTGAGAAGTTAAAATAAAAACCTGAGCAGAAGCCCCACCAAGTTCAATAATCCCAGTAGTTTCCAAAGGATCACCACCAAGAGCACCCAATGCATAATTCGCAATAACCCAAGCATATAACCCCTCGTCCGACCCTATCGAAAAAACAGCATAATCACCGATAGTCAATCCTCTTAAGAAAATTACCAATAACAAAATACAGCTAAGAAAAAGACCATTCCATACCAGTAATAACAGAAGCCCAACTATCCTGAAACTTAAACCCAGACTTCCTCAAAACCCGTCTACACGCATCCAAAATCCGATCTTGTACCTCGGAATCAAGCAACCGCATTCCGGCAGTCGCCATTAACCAAACCTCAGTCTCTCCCCACAATTCTCTAGGCACTCTCCTTTTCCCAAACTCCACCAATTCCTCCACTGACCCGCCTGCCCCTTCCGGATCCTCCGCATACGCCGATAACCCAGGATTCACCTTCATTACCCCTTCTTCAAAGTCAAACACAACTTTTCCTCCGCTCTCAATTCGGTACCCGAAAACATGAATCCGGGTACCCGTACTCCCTCCGTCGATTATGATACCGTATTTTTTAGAAAACGGTTTCGTTTTTGATTTAAGGAGGTAATAGCAAGATAAGAGGCCGATTAGGGTTATGACAATAGCTAGCTTGGATTTGGTGTGTTTAGATTTGGTGGATCGGGTTGAGATGGTTCGAGTATGGAATTTGATAGCAGGATCCATTTTCTGCTGGTCGTTGGTATTTGAATCGACCCGGTTGCGGGCATGCGGGCGTCGCATCAAAGAGAAGGAATTGGCATGTGAAGGGAACGCGAGCTTTTCAGGGCTTTGGATGGATAAGAGAGGGAGAGGGCTAACAGAGTGTGACTGCCCTCTCTCTCTGCAATTCGGGTTTGGGTCTGTGTTTCGGGCACTCAGGTGGTGGTGCGATTTTAGGATGATGGCGATACGCGTTGACGGGAGTTTTTTAAAGGGAAGAGTAAAAGATGTTTGCGGTTCGGTTTATCTCATTAGATCTTTTGGGTTCGGGTTGCTAACTGGTTTGAACCTCTTAAATTTTTTGCAAAAATTTTATTAAGATGTTATTGTATAAAAATTACTCGTTTGAATAAAATTTTAATTTGGTACTCACTACGGCTCTTAAAATATGTCGAATTAAAAATAATTTTTTAATAAAATCTTGTATTTAATTGATTATTTTTTATGTTTTATAAAAAAATTTAGTTTCAAAATTTTATTAAAAAATGTATACATTAAGAAAAATAAATCATATTTTTTTAATAAATAAAAAGTTAATTAAGAAATTAATTGGATGTTTTCATAAAAAATGACAAAGTGAAGAAATTGTTTAAACCCTGAAAGAAAAAAAATCAGAATTGACAAAAAAAAAATCATATTGTTTTAATCGCTAGGATGAATGAAAAAAAAGTTCATAAATTTAACACAAAATCATTAATAAAAAACAATTAAAAATTGCTGAAAAAAATAAAAACCAGCCCATGCATATGTTTTGGACCTGTAGAAGCAGGCTCATGCCTCTAGGCTTGCAGGCCCAAGGCGAAGGCTTGTAGAAACAGGCCCAGTTAGTCTAGGCTGGCCATATGTGTATATAAGGAGTCTGCTGTAGGTTTTGACAAACTTAAGTTCGCTGTAACATTAGTCGAAAAAGTAGATTTTTGGGTTTTTTAGCCCCAAAACTTAATTCGTGTACTATTTTTTGCTTAAAAAACTTTTAAAAAACCAAAATGAGATTAAAAAAAAAAAAAACATGCTTGGAACTTTAAAATTGGCACATAAAAAAATTAAATTAAAAAACTTTAAATATTTTGAAATGTCGATCTATTTTTTTTCAATTATTTTATGCTTTAAAATCACAATAAACAAAATCAACTCTCTAAAATAAATAAATTAAATAGAATATAACCTATCAAAATAATTGGAATAAACCTAACCAACACATTCTCTCGCTCCTCTCCCTCCTCTTTATTCTTTTCTCTATAATCTCTGCATTTAGGAAATAAAGTGTGTCATAATTAAAGTTGTGGATCAAAATAAAAATTTTCAAAACTATGAATTAAAATATAAAATTTTATGTAATTTACATATAATTGTCTAAAAAGGCCCAAAAAAAAAAAAAAAAAACAGTTTCAGTCTATAGTGCCACTAAATCTATGCTACAGTAGTTGGATAGTAAAACCTTCCAAATTTTTTAGTTTTTTAATAAGAAGATAGCTTTAATTATTGTAACTTAATTAATTTATTATATGTTTTATTTAAAAAATCCCCTAATATTTATATTTTAATATGTATTATTTTCATTTCACCTAAAATTTAGTTTCGTTTATATTAATAATTAAACCACTAACTTATCAAAAAAATGAGGAGATTGTTTTGATCCAATAGACTGGTTTCATGCGATAAATTTTCAATAGGAATTTTTTTCCAAATATTTCAATGAATTTTTTTTTATTGTGTTAAGATAAACCATTCATATTAAGGTTTAATACATTCTCATAAAATTTCTTCCTTTTTCACACCATTTTTTATATTGCACTTCTAAACGATGAAGTAGGGACTGACAAAAAAATTCATTTGAGGTATGAATGCAAATGACAATGAGTATTTTCCTGAAAATGCAAACGAGTAATGTTCTTGGAAATTGCTAGGTCAGATGAATTAATAAGTTTTTCCTTTTCCTTGGATGCATCGAAATTCTGGTAGAGTTGGTTTTGGTTTTGTCCAGAAAGAGGACAAAAGTTTGGCTTTTGAAGCTACGTGTCACCGTCGGGCAATATTATTTTGACGGTTTTGGTCGTTCCGTAGTCATCGTCAATATCATGCAGGTCCCTGCTCAAATGCCTGCAACGGATGAAACTTGATCCCTTCCAATTTCCAAACCCAACAAGGTTTCTCTGTGAAAAATTTCCACAAAGTTTTCCAATCAAACTCCAAGAATATCCATGAATTGAAAGAAGAGAGAACAATCATACATTTTTCAGTCAACAATTGAGAAGAGTTTTGCAAATCAGTCATAGTATTTCTATTCATGTAACCAAAAAAAGCCCAGATTTTCTATATGAAAAGGGAGTTCATCAAATTGCTCTAGCTAGAATATATTAGTTGTAAGGAAAGGGAGGAGAGTTCAATCAAACACATGTGACGATAAACAATCGTTGGCAGAAGTTTTTTATTCTTAATAACTAATATTAAGAAAGAAAATGATGGAGGTAGTGAGAAATGGAAGAGTTAATGATATTTTAACTAGACATCAAGGGCGGGAGAGAAGAGTCAAAAAAACTGCCGAAAAGTATCAAGTTATCAACAAGATCCAAAATGTTATGGTTTCAGACACCCAGCCCCAGCTACGGTAGGTCATATCTTGGGGAACCAAGACACCCCAAACTTTGGATGGGTCCAGTGGCTGTAAAAGAATCAAAGCTATCTGTTGGAAAATACACAAAAGCTTCGGACTGATTTTTATGGTCCTGTGTACGTAGATAGACCTAGTTCGTAATTCCTTGTTACATGTTCTGGTGGCGAGAAGACATGATTTTTTCTTCAAAAAGAAACTGCATGAAGTTGAGGGCTCTGCAATGAGCTACATTACTAACTTTTAATTCATTAAACTTTCGTCTGTTTTGTTTTTCTTTTTGTGGGACATGGCTGTCAATGGATCCGATCATAATAAATAATCATCCAGTTTGTTTATTATCACATCCGCTCAAATTTTATGAATTTAAATTAAGCTTTAAAAATATAGATGTAAATTTTAATAGATGTAGATTGGGTTCGGAGTTTAATAGGATTTATAACTTGTTTTTATAGAAAATTTATGTTTACTACATTTAATATATTACTTAATATAAAATATATTTCGATAACTATATATAATAAAATATATCAAAATAATATTATATCTATCAATTTTATAAAAAATTCAAAATGTCATATAATTCAAAAGCATAAAATTAAATAATTCTAATAAAAATTTATCTTAAATTAGGTAGGAATTGTAATAAAACTAAAAAAAATTAATAAATAATTTTTATTTTTTGTCTATGTGATAGCAAAATCAATATTTGTTAATTCGAATTCAAATATGATAGTGTTACAAATCAAGACTTGCAAAGAAAGAAAGAAAAGAAAAGAAAATCTATTAATATTATCACATATTTTTAACAAGTTATTTTACAAAAATTTATTATTACATGTTAATTTACTAATATTATCAATATCACATAACTAGATAAGTACTAATATTACATTTTCTTAACCCTTTTTTTTTTTAAATTCAAGTTTTGTCAATTCCTTAATAATATAAATATTTTAGTATCTCAAATTCCAATTTCTAACTGTTTGTTTTCACACCCCTCTCAATAAGTGATATGACAAATATACAAAAATTTCATTTACAAGATTCATTTAATTACATCAAATTCTAGTCGGATTCGATACCGTCCTAATCATGAATGTTCCATTCCTTTCTAATTCTCGTTGCTTGAAACAAGAGACTGAAATTTGGTTATGCGTCCGACATTTGTAAGTCATAAAATGCTACTCCGTTATTTGGTTTGAACGAAAGCACGGATTAACAAACCAATGTCCGAGGCACATCGAGGGACGAGTAGAGCAAGGTTTTATATTAAGGTAGGAAGTTCTAGGCCATAGCTTGTTATTCAATATACTTTCCTAATCCAAACTTGTCTAGCATACCATTGTCTTCTTGTTAAGTTTATCGACTTATTATACTCTTTTTTGGAATTTTTTTTTTTGTATATCCTGTCGTTTTTTTTTTTATTCGGAGGTCGGGTAACACACTAAAAGTTCATGAGCTACCATCTCGGAATTAAGCAATCAAATCGAATCCTTTTCTTTGAGGGAATAAAACTCGGACATGTCCAATGTCTCTTGCAATACCATTAACTCCCCGTGACAAACAAAGTTCGACTGGTGTTTTCCAATTGTAGTCGAAGCAATTCTACTTATCGACAATGATATGCTTAATTCACTCTGTCAATTACTAGATAGTGTTGTAAATTCAAATTGCCACTGTACTCGACACATGCTAATGTTGGGTTCCGAAACAAATGGGCTACTTCTTTTATTCCACAAGAGAAAAACAATTACAATCGAGATTGATTCAAGGCACTCACAATTAGAACATATAGTTTTTCTCTCTCTCTCACACACTTAGCTGCGAACACACCCGTTTATATATGTTATCTGCTGAAGGTTAAGCTAACCGACTAACTACTTTACTAACGGACTTAAACTAACTCTTAATAACCATTAACCAATTAATAACAAATTGTTGTTGAATGAGTCGGCACCCACGTGACTAACTTAGTTGTTATGGAGAGTCGGCATCCACGTGGTTAACCTTTACGTGGAACGTGGTATAAGTACAAGTCCTACGAGTCACAAACTCTGCGAGTAGCAGTGTGCTTCTTGTGATCCTCGGTAGCTAACTCGATACTCCCCTCGAGAGGAGCATGAATATCAATCATGTTCATCTTGCTTACAAGAAACCGAAATTGAGAGGACTGGAGAGCTTTGGTAAATAGGTACGCCAGTTGATTAACCGAAGAAACATACTGCGGCTTCGACACTCATACGGTGATCTTTTCTCTAATAAAGTGGCGAGTCCATTTTGATATGTTTGGTCCTCTCATGAAGCACGTGATTTTGGCTTATGTGAATTGCGGATTGGTTATCACACTTAAGGGAACCGACTTCGGTGTTGGAATCCCAAACTCGCAAGTAAACTCAATAACCACACA